ATTATGGCACTAGAAAAAGTGCAGAGGCGGGCTAAAAAATTAATAAAAGGAATGGAACATATCAGCTATGAAGAAAGGCTAACAAATTTCAACCTATTTAGTTTAGAAAAACGTTGCCTGAGAGGGGATATGATAACATTATACAAATATATTCTGGGCCAATACAAACCATTGTGTGGAAATCTATTCACAAACCGGACTTTACATAGGACACGAGGCCATGCGTTTAGACTGGAAGAAAGAAGATTTCGTCTAAGGCAAAGGAAAGGTTTTTTTACTGTAAGAACAATCCGGATGTGGAATTCTCTGCCTGAAGAAGTGGTTTTATCAGAGTCCATACAGATGTTCAAACAGCTACTAGATGCATACTTGCAAAAACAGAATATTCAAGGATATAATCTTTCAATGTAGGGTAATAACTGCTTGATCCAAGGATAAATCTGACTGCCATTCTGGGGTCAAGAAGGAATTTTTTTCTTAGCTTGTTGCAAAATTGTGCTTCAAACTGGGTTTTTTTGACTTCTTTTGGATCAACAGCAAAAAACTAATGTGAGGAAGGCTGAACTTGATGGACGCAAGTCTCTTTTCAGCTATGTAACTATGTAACTATGTAACTAAACTACAAAACTTTTATGTAACACATTCCTCTATCACATACATACCAAACTTCACTATGGAAATTAATTAATACCGTAAAGCTTGTTCATGTATACTTTCATTTTTATTTTCATTTATTATCCATATGTCCAGCAAGCAGTGACGTACACAAGATCCATGGGGCCCCGGTGCGAAAATTGATCCACGGCCCCCCCCCCGCGCACTTATTCTGCGCAGGCTGGTGCCGCTACACATGGCTGTGCCACCAGTGCATGCAGATACACTTAAAGGACCACTATAAGCACTCAGATTACTTCAGCTCGATGAAGTGGTCTGGGTGCCAGGTCCCTCTAGTTTTAACCCTGCAGCTGAAAACATAGCGTTTCAGAGAAACGGCTATGTTTCACTGAGGGTTAATCCAGCCTCTGGTGGCTGTCTCATTGACAGCCGCTAGAGGAGATTCCGCGATTCTCACTGTGAAAATCACAGTGAGAAGACACTGAACGTCCATAGGAAAGCATTGAGTAATGCTTTCCTATGGGCGGTTTAAATGCGCGCGCGCGCCTCTTGCCGTGCATGTGCATTTGGAGCTGAGAGGCGGCGGGATCCCCAGCGCCACGTAGGGATGCCGGAGCCGGAAGATGACGTCATCTTCCGGCTCCGGTATCAGTGCAGCGCGCAAGGGAGCGGAAGAGGAAGCACTGAGGGGAAAGTGCTCCCTCGCGCGCCGGCCACCCAAACAGCCCGACCGCTGGGGTCAGCAGGGCCAACCTCGGGGGGCCCTGGGGTGGCCGGCTCCTGGGCCCCCCAGAAGAAGAGGCTGGCCCTGTGGCTACATACCGGGTCGCAGGGGTGGCCGGGCCCCTTGGTGGGCCGGTCCCGGTCGCAGCCGCGACCCCTGCGACCCTGGTATGTACGCCACTGCCGTCAGGCCCTGGAGCTTTGTTTATATTAACTTTCTTTAGTTGCTGCAGCACCTTGTCTTGAGTTAACCAATTACAATTATTCTGCAAGTTTTTAGTAGCAATCATTTGCACATCTATTGCCATGAGTTCTTCCTTAATATATACGGAGGAGAAATAGTTATTTAAAATTCCTGCCTTTTCCTGGTCTTCATTAATTAACACCCCCGTTCAGGTTAGTAACGTGATGGTTTTCTATTAGCTTAGGCAACAATAGATTGTATGGAGTATAAAATATAAAACTCTGCTGGAGTATGGTATGTGTCATCCAGTAAGTTGGCTAGATGTGCCTGTGCAGTGTTAATCATGGAATTAACCCCTGAGCACCCTCAGCGTAGCGTGGAACGGGGTCACATGAAAGCATGCATTCAGAAACATGGCTGTGCCACCAGTGCATGCAGATACACTTAAAGGACCACTATAAGCACTCAGATTACTTCAGCTCAATGAAGTGGTCTGGGTGCCAGGTCCCTCTAGTTTTAACCCTGCAGCTGAAAACATAGCAGTTTCAGAGAAACTGCTATGTTTCACTGAGGGTTAATCCAGCCTCTAGTAGCTGTCTCACTGACAGCCGCTAGAGGCGCTTCCGCGATTCCTATGGGCGGTTTGAATAAGCGCATGCGCATTCGGAGCTGAGAGGTGGATCGGGGCAGAGAGATCCCCAGCGCCAAGGGAGCCCGGCGCTGGAAAAAGGTAAGTGCTGAAGGGGTTTTAACTACACACACACACTCTCATGAACAGACGCATACACACTAGCTAACAGACACACACTCAGTGACAGACACACATACACACTCACTTACAAAACATACACTCTCACTAACACACACACTCACTAGCAGACACACACTCAATTTGAGCATATATCTTGACAAGATAATGAGTCCATCTGTATTAAAGCTCCCCTCTTATGTGAGGGATACAAAACAAATGTTACAACTTATGGAAAATATCATTGTACCTGGAGAGGCGTTATTATGTAGTCTTGACATAGAGTCTCTTTATAGTTCCATCCCACATATTCTGGGGATTGAAAACCTAAGACTCACTTTACAACTACAGTCTGAATTCTCCACAGAATACATAGACTTTGCATGTAAAATCCTTACTCTTGTGCTTACTAAAAATGTTTTTCTCTTTAATGGTACGCTTTACCATCAGATTATGGAAACGGCAATGGGCACTTCTTGTGCCCCCTCATATGCGAATTTATACCTAGGTACATGGGAAAACAATCTTCAAAATGATGAACGTTTGATTCAATTCTTAACACTAATACATTGTTGGAAACGCTATATCGACGATGTATTTATAGTGTGGCTGGGTACAATAGACGACTTTATCGAATTTGTACGGTTACTGAACGTGAACGATTTGAACTTACGCTTTACCAGTGAGGTTGGGGGTAAACATCTCAACTTTTTAGACATTACCTTGTCCTTACAAGAGGATGGCAGAATTTCCACAACGCTGTATAGTAAAGAAACAGCCACGAACAGCCTAAATTGGCACAGTTACCACCCTTATCCCTCCAAAGCAGGCATCCCGATTGGGCAATATCTGCGTTTACGCAGAAATTGCTCAACTCTTGAAGATTTCAAGATAAAGGCTGCCAATCTGAGAAAATCTTTTAAAAACAAAGGGTACCCAAACAGAGTCCTTAAAAAGGCATATTCAAGGGCACTTAATTCAGATAGAGCGAATCTCCTTGAGGACAGAATTTCATCTTCGAGCCATCAGATTCGTTGTATTGGGACATATGATGCAGGCTGGCATACAATGCTGCTAATTCTTGGCAGATATTGGCCGACCCTGACATCTGATACTCATATCAAGTCAGTGATTTCCCCATTTCCTTCCATTACGGCACGTAGAGGGAAGAATTTTAAGGATCTTTTGGTACCCAGCCATTTCGGTCAATCTAACGCATTTCCCAAATCCTACTTACCTAAGGGCACTTATAGATGTGGCCACTGTAGTGCCTGTCAGTACATAGGTAAAGAAACAAAGATGTTCTCTGACAGTTCGAATTCTGACTCCCATCCTGTACGTTCCTTTTTTAATTGCCGTACAGAGGGTGTAATTTACCTTTTGACATGTTCCTGTGGTATTAAGTATGTCGGAAAGACATTCCGTCCTTTCAAGTTCCGCATTAGAGAACATGTCAATTCAGTTAGAAGTAAATTTGAAACTCCCATCTCAAGGCACTTAAAAACATGCTATGCCAATTCATCCAGTAGGATACGCTTTATGGGCATTGAATTCATACCCCAAACACAACGTAAAGGGGATTGGGACCGTAGGCTCAAACAAAGAGAGTCCTACTGGATATATAAATTGAAAACACTGTCACCACAGGGATTAAACAAAGGTTTTTCGTTTTCTTCATTTTTGTAGACTATGAAGTATTATTCCATCCACAGACCTTATATACTCATCTGTATTACCTTACATATTTTGTTGCTGTTTGTAAATATGTTTATATGTAAATAAATAAATTTTTCTTATTTTTCATGAATTAAGTTGTTGATCCTCAGTAGGTTTTGTACCTAACTATATCATATGGTGGTCTATAATTACTGTGAATCTCATTGGGATTAATGAGTATTAATAACTAATCTCTAACTATCATATTTCATTACTCGCATAACACCAAATTCTTTCCAGTTCAGATCTAATTTAAGCTTAATATTTGGTGGCTCCTTATAATTAATAAGATTCCCATGTAAGCGCTAGATAATGATGCTGCAAACTTTAATATAAATATATGATTGCGAGCATAGAGGTTGTCTCTATGACAATGAACATCGGTAGACCTTATGAAGTTATTTAGCGAACTGTATGCCTTTCATATATTTATGATTTTGGAGACAGGTATTCTACGGTCTGTACATTGCTAATACATACTATATTAGACTGTACGACCCGTCAGTCAGGCTCACGCCAGTCATAGGTGTAGGAAAGGTGAGTTTAAACATACAGTCCCCCTCTAGTGACATATTTAGATATTTTCCTATATTATATCACATACTTTAATCAGTCAGCCGCTTGCTAGTTATGATATCAAAGTGAGTGATGCATGAGTCTGCATCCTCCCTCTATAGCGAATGACTGACGGACTTTATAAAAGTTAATATGCTTTGGGACTTAATCATGGAGTTTAGGGGTAGAGTGTCTGAATCTCTAATAGACGTCCCCCCTCCGTTTACCAAACGATGGATGCCTTACTTTGCACCCTTTCTCCATAATAAATGATCGTTGGATCCCTTAAGTTTGATTCACTTCGGGATCTTATAATGGAGTTTAGGGGCGGAGCATCCGTCTGTGTATAATCCTCCCCCTTTCCCCACCCCTTTATGATTGACTCAGGTTTTACCCAATGACATTCCGATCTAAGTGATGACGTTGTCGAGGAGGAGTGGTGACTACGTCAGACATCCACTCCCCCTCCACACGTCGGACCACCTGGAGGGATTTACCTCCGATTGTTGAAGGTATTTAACCGGCTTCAGTAGGACGAACATTTACAATAGCTCCTGATGATGGCGTGTCTGCACGCTGAAACGCGCATCGAGCGCTTACTTTCATTTATTTATGTTTTTCTTTTTACACTAGGTAGCACTTAGGTAGTCAGTATGTTTTGATTTAGTTAGTCAGTATAGTTAGCCTTTTTATGATTTTGACTTCTTAAGAGACTTCTCTAGGCAGAGATTTTCTTGGTTTGAGGGGCTCCTCTGGACCTAGGGCTTGTCCATATAGGAACTGCCCTGGTTCTTTCCCCCTTTTCCTATTTTTTCCTGTATAGGTCTTTTTTTTAACCTGCTTTTATATCAGTGGGGCATTGTACATATTATACATTCTGTGGAGCCCTAGATGTGGATATTTGTACTAGTGTATAGGGCTGGTCTCCCACTCAACTAGGGAGCTCTTTTCGCTGTATAATTAGTAGTGGACAATATTAGAGTACTTATGTTTTTTTTTCTACTTATTCCCCTTACCTCTTTATCCACTCATTAATATCCCCCTTCTCCCTTCTCTCTTTATTATTTGGCTACTATACTGCTTTGTTCCTGTGTTCAGTAGCTACTTCAGGGATCCCCTTGTTCCAAGGGTCTCCGTTATTTTTTTAAATTTTTTTTTTCATACACACTCACATATTTTATTTAATCCCCCAGCCTCCCTACCTTTGGGAGTACTGTGGGGATTCCTGCTGTCCCTGGGGTCCAGTGGGGCTGCTGAGTGCTCTCTGCCCAGCTCCCTTGCGCTGCTTACTGATGCCGGAGCCGGAAGATGATGTCATAGACGGCTCCGGCATCAGTAGGCAGCGCGAGGGAGCTGGACAGAGAGCACTCAGGGGAGAGTGCTCCCACCCTTGCGCGCGCCCAGCAGCCCAGCCGCAGGCAAACTGAAGCCACTGCCAGCCTCGGGGGGCCCTGAGGTGGCCAGCTCCTGGGCCCCCCAGGAGAAGAGGCTGGCAAAATGTGGCCACACTGGCGTGCATACCGGGTCGCAGGGCGGCTGAGCCCCCTGGTGGGCCAGGCGCGGTCGCAACCGCGACCCCTGCAACACCGGTATATATGCCACTGCTACCAAGTCTACATAGTTACAAACACGCAATTCCAGCTAGGACTAGACTTAATTATTCTGATTGTTGATAAGCCTGTTTGTATTGTCCTATTACTCTTGTTCTATAAGAAAAAAAAGTGCAGCATAACATGATTAGTCAAAGCGATATATTATAATTCACTCTTATGTCAAGTGACATTGCTGAAAAGTGTATTTAAACTCTGCACTCAAAAATAAAGAATTTAAAAAAAAAATAAAAAAAAAACAAGTTTTCGTTTCTTTACCCATTTATCCCAGAAAATATATTAAGAATTTAATTGAAAAAAACTGCTAACAATGGCATGTTCCATTTTACATTGTTCAGTTACCGTTGGCTGTATCTTAGGCCAACTGTCCATCAAAGAGGATTTCCAGTTTAACAGCCACTAGAATATCTAATGCAATAAGCCTAAGATCTTTATTTAAAGGAGCACTACAGGGTCAGGAACACAAACATGTATTCCTGACCCTTTGGGTTAAAACCACCATCTAGCCACACTGGTCCCCTCATGCCTCCCTAAATATAGTAAAATCTTACTTGTATTCAAGTCTGGAGCTGCTTACTTTGTCCATGTTGCCTTTAGACCTGCCCACTGCCTGCTGACATCAGCAGAAGTGGTAGACTGATCCAATCACAATGCTTCCCCATAGGATTGGCTGAGACTGACAAAGAGGCAGATCAGGGGCAGGGTCAGCACAATTCAAACACAGCCCTGGCCAATCAGCATCTCCTCATAGAGATGAATTGAATCAATGAATCTCTATGAGGAAAGTTCAGTGTCTGCATGCAGAGGGAGGAGACGCTGAATGTTTGGATGCATTTTAGGCAGCAATGACCCAGGAAGGATCTCAAACAGACATCTTAGGAGTGGCTAATGATGTTATCACTAGGCTGTAATGTAAACACTGCATTTTCTCTGAAAAGACAGTGTTTAAAGCAAAAAGCCTGAAGGTAACGATTCTACTCACCAGAACAAATACATTAAGCTGTAGTTGTTATGGTGAGTATAGTGTCCCTTTAATATTTTCATATCTAGATGTAGCAATGCCATTCCAGGTGTTAATATAAAGTCTTAGAGAGACTTTATAGAGAAGAGATTTGACATAAAATCATTTGTCTTGTCCCAAAGTTGTTTAACTATCGGGCAATTCCACCACGTGTCTTAAATCCGCCAATGGTTTGGCACACTTCCAGCAAAAATGATCTTCATTAGGAAGAGAATGGGACACATGGAGAGGCTGCAGAGGGAGAAAATGGGACACATGGAGGGGCTGCGGAGGGAGATAATGGGACACATGAAGGGGCTGGAGGGAAGGGAATGGGACACATGGAGGGGCTAGTGGGAAATGAAACACTTGGGGTGGGGGGAGGAAATTAGACACTAGGACATATGGTGGACCCCAGGGCAATTTTAAAACAGGGGCCGGTGGTTTCTAGTTACGCCTCTCATGTTACGGATGTGTATTTAAAACGTTTTGGTGTGTTTCTATTTCGTCTATATGTCGACATTAATACTTTTAATGTTGATCTTTTAATAAAGTACTGGTCTTAAGTTGTGGGAACGTTCTCAGATTTGTGGTTTTTTGCTTTGCGTCTTGGATTGTGAAGGTTCAGTGGTCTCCATTATCGCCGACTTAAGACTCATTCAAGCATTATTTATTTGTGCACATCAATCTGGCAATACTATATAGAAGAGCACATCACTTAGTTTTTTTTACAGTGCAGCAGGACTGAGCAGTTTCAGCCAATGAGATTAGATCTGTACTGCCTGGGATTAGTTTAGTTCTGCAGTTTTCAACAGTAGGAAAGGCGATGAACCGCACCACCAAAATTGAATACCTACTAAATGAGGCCACCAGCAGGTGGTTATTGTACTGGGAGTGTTTCTTTAAAATGTATCTGCCTATGAACAAAGAAGTGTAAAGAAACTCTTCAAGCACCATAACCACTGCAGCCATTTGTGGAAAAAAATGATTTAGACTGCCCTCATTATGCCCCCTCATATGAGCGTTTGGTTTAAGTGAAAAAATAAAGGTTATGTATAAAAATTGTCTTCTTATGGAAAGCTATCTAAAGTGAAACCAGAGGGCACATTGCACTTATTTTCCAAGTTTGCACTTCATATCAGAACACTTTTTATTTATTTTTTTATAAATCACCCACAGCGCTCCTGGAAACGTGCTGGGGAAAAATGAAAGAAAAAAAACCACACCATAAGTATGCTGTGTGGGTGTATGCCTGCGACTGCCAGTGGATTTGGTTGGTTACTTTCTACAAAATGGATACTGTTGATTAGGACTACAGTTCCCTGCAACCATTGCGAATCCTACAGCCTTGTCCGGAAGTGACATCACGATATCGGCTTTAAATACGGTTGGTTGCGAGCGTGACGTTCTCTTGTCATTGGTGCCATCTTAGGAAGGTAAGCTTTGCCGTGTTCTTGCTGGATGTCTGGCCTACTTACAATCTTGTTCAATCCTGGCTTTACCGAAGTCATCCTTACCGAGAATTAACTTTATTTCATTCTTTATTCACAGGCTTATCTTCTCAAGATGAGAGCCAAGGTAAGAAACGATTTTTACCGCTTCCATCGGGGTTGGTTGTTGGGCGATAATTAGGCCTCTTTGCTGCTTTGTTCTTTCTTGTGGATGGGTGTGTTTGTTTCATAGGTCTAGCTGTGTTCCAGAACGTCTGAACGTATAGAATGTCTGATGGTCGTGATTATACTGCATTCTGTGCCGCATTTTTCAGCTGTATATCTGTAGGAGCATATTTGCATCTCCTTTCTTTATATAACATGGCGTCACATGATCTTTCACAATTAATTAAATCGAAGCCTGTTCTTTACGTGAAAGCTAGTCACAGGTCGCTCCTCAGGCTCTAACGCTTTGTGCCCTATATGGAGCATTACTGCCCCTTCAGCTGTGTATTGTTTGCCCAGAAGGACATTTGGTCACATGGCAGTCGTCTTACTACACTAGAAGCACCAGATTAAAGCCATTATCTGGTGGGTGCTTGTCCAGATATAGATCACCTTCAAGAAGGGGGTGGGGGGGTAAAAAATCTTATGATTTGTTTCACTCTTGCTGCAATGCAGCAGTCCCTTCCTTGAAATGGTGGACTGCACTGACCCAAGTCCATTTCAACACTATCAATTCCTTTACTCTGCAAACGGCTTCTAAATTGCATTTTTAAAACCTGGACCATTTGGCTTGGTCAAATCTGTGAAACTAACTGTAACATTATTATTTTTTTTTTTTTCTCCTTACAGTGGAGGAAGAAGCGTATGCGCAGGTATGTCTACTTCATAAAAACGTGCTACTGATAACTTGTGTTAATCTATGTTCTATATTTTAAAATAGCTTAAAACTTCCACTGGAAGGTAAATATTCAGTCTTTGCAAGTAAATACAACCTTACGGTGAGTTTGCTGTTGACCTTAGTCTAACAGCGGCGGATGACTATCCATGCCTGTACTAAATTTTTTTTTTATTTATTTTTTTTAATTTTGAGCCCTGTTTAAAGCACAGACTTAAGGAACATGAAGTACTAGACAGGCATGATGGCTTTTTCTATATCTATGCAGAAACTTAATGTCTGCATGAATTGTCCCATGTGGACACTGGATCTGTATAGAATTTTCTGATTTTGTTTTCAGAGGGTATATAATGGTAGGCCTGGTTTTGGGCATATAGAATATCCATGTAACGTAGCTACAATTTTTAGGAAACTCCCTTCTGTAGTTTAAACTACAGATTTTGAGCTTTTTCTTTAGTTCTTAAGTAAACATGACCTGTTATGAACTGCTTTTCAGAAAAGTCTGAACTTGAGAATCTGACCGATGTTATGGCCAAATGCTCATGTATGTCAGGAATATAGAAAGTACATCAGAATAAAGCTGGCATCTTACCTAAAAAAAAAACTGCTTTATTCTGTTGTAATTGACCTTAATTGCAACTTTGAACTCATATGATCCATGGCTTACAATTTGAAAGGGATAATCAAACAAAATAAATGATGTAAGCAGTAATTTGCTATTGGCTTATTTGATTGAAAATAGAAATCCGCTTGAATACTTCCTGTTATTGGCTGTCTAGTTCAGTGGGGAAAAAAAATTTAACACTCAAAGAAAAATTTAAAATTTCTTTGAAAATTAAGTTAGACCATATAAACTAGTATTTTTGTATGGATAGTAATATTATTTCTCTTCTAGACTGAAGCGTAAGAGGCGAAAGATGAGGCAGAGGTCCAAGTAAACGTCTCCTCCGTTGCTCCTGAGACCTGCAAGCTAAAGAAATCACTCCTGAAGACTGCATGTGGAATTGAGGAGCATTGGCCCTAGTGGATGATACAGAATTTGTCTGGCATTGTCAATCTGCAATTCAGTGTGATCCAGCTTGTCTCCACCTTTCTGCTGCCAGTTGCACACTACAAGACTCTTCCCGAAGACATGCTGAAGTCTGTCTGGAGTTTGGACTTGTTTCTGGTCTCATGTAGCAGAAGTAATAAAATGGCTTTTTTGGTTAAACCAAGCTGGATACCTCTCATTTGTCTATAAAGCACATATAAATTCTATATCCTATTCTACATATTGCTTGCAGAGTGGGCATGATGGCTCTGGTTTCAGCCTCTTCTTTAGGCTGTCAAATTAAAAAACCTGCTTGTTTATTTATATTATGTATGTGTCTGCATGCAGCCGTTACAAATAAATGCACCATCATGTGTGCTTTAGAAGCTCGGTGAAGAAACTGGTGTTGCATTTTTGAGCTTTAGTGAAGCTTACAAATGTGGTTGTCTGCGTATGCTCATTCTACATGGTGGTCCTTCTGAAGAGAACTAGATTTCTTAGAAAGATGTTGACTGTTTCCCTTTTTAGGGTCGATGATACTTACAACTGACATGAACACTATTTAGTGCACAATGTTTCACTTGGTAGCACTATTCACTTCTACATGGGTATCTAGGGTGTTATAATGAACTTTCAATTACTACAGGAACATACTATTAAAGAATGAGGGCTTTAATTTGATGTGACCCCAAGATTGGGTATAAACACTAACAAAGTTCAAATTAAAAAAAAAAAACAAATCAATTAAATTCCCTCTTGACAGACAAATGAGGTTTCAGTTACACAATTTGGTCTTATTGTGTTAAGCCCACCACTACATCACAGTACCAAATATCTGAGGTCTAAACTAAATCAAACTTGTTAACTGCAATGCTTAAACTGATTCCTGAGACGCAAACTCATGCTTTCAGTCACATCCAAATGTGTTCCCTGATCTGTATTTTGTGTCTCTATGGCAGCACCAATAATTAGAAAAACATTCCAGGTGTGCCCCAATCCCATTTCTATTCTGAAGATCAGATTCCCTTTGGACTGATTACCCATCCACTATGGTTTTTTTTTTTATTATAAATAGGTGACCACAGCAAAGCATAATTTTGAAGAGTCTCTGGATGCATCTTAAGCAATAAATATTGTAGTTGGTATGTTTTAAAACTTGGTGCAGGACATACTGATATTGGTGATGTGACCACTGCAGACTTTGATCTATGGATTTCATTGGCCTGTCACCTTCTGGATGTTACACCATGATCTCTGCCGTGGAGATATTGCCAGCTGCAATGAGGAAGAAAAGTAAGTATCTGTTTTAAACTCCATAATGTGGTGGGATCCTACTTGTGTATTCAATCACTATAGTGTCAGGAATACATGTTGGTTTGCTCTCCTTAGTCATGCAAGTCACAACATCAGTCATGAGTGCTTATTGATGTTCCGGCGTAGGATCTTTCAGCTCTTGCAAACTATGGAATTAAAGTTGTGTTTTTTATTTATTTATTTAAAGACAGAGTGCAGTTGTCTACATACAAATTGGATGTTGGAGCCTTGGTAGTGCACCCTGTCATGTTTTTCAGAGTGAGTGCAAGGAATTTCAGTGTGTATACTACAGTAGTGGTTACAGTGCTTGGAGTGTTGGCAGAAGTTAATGGTTTTTATTTAACATTGTAGTTAAAATAACACAAGTCTTGGTATTCTTTGGTCCTTCACTTCATCTAGGTTCTGATCCCTGGATAGGGGGGATATTTTCTGAACTGTAGGATGGTAGGGCACTACTGCACAATGTTGTAACATAGACATTAGGAGACTTCCTTTTTGCCATAGATTATTTCCTGGGGCCATTTCCAGACTGGAATGTCATGGGTGATGTGACATGACAATGTACTGGACTAGTGAAATATGCCCTTGGTAAGTCTGAGTGGATATCAAAACTTCTAGTAGGGAGTTCTGTTTTGACAAGTGAGAAAATCAGGTTGTGCCTGCAGTGTGGTTTTTTTTTTTTTCTCTTTAAATCAGGCTTGTCAGAGCATTGCTGTGTTACTTGGCAATGCTCTGATGCTGTGCTGACAGTCAGCCTGCAGCAGGAGGAGCTACAGGCTAAAGTAAACATGCCACCACTGGACCATCAGGGCTTGTAACATTGTCTCCCCTCCCTGGTAAAAGGTAAGAAGGGACATTAAGAGACTTTCCCACCTACACACAGCATCCGTATGGGAAAGCATTGGATTGGTTAAAAATCGGCAATTCTGATGTCACCAAGGAGGTGGATTAGGGCGGGGCCTGCATCAGCAGACCTGCACTGTAAATAAGCCGTTTTAACATTTTCTAAGGGGGGGTAAGTCACCTAAATGGTGGGTTAAACCCTATAGGGTCAGAAATACATGTTTGTGTTCCTGACCTTATAGTGTCCCTTTAACCCCTTCCTGACCACGGACGTATCCGGTATGTTTGACACAAAAATGGTCCTTAAGGACCGCGGACATACCTGATATGTCCACGGCATATTTGAGCAATGGAAGCGATCATGATCGCTTCCAGCCGCTCTGTGGGTATTGCTCGATGTTGGGGCACAAGGTAAAAATAAAAAATATATTTAATTTGTTTTAAAATTAACCTCTACCCACCCACCCTCCCCATGTACTTACCGATCACTGCCGTTCCCCCACTGGCGATCGGTCTTCTCCTGCACCGAGAAAGACAAAAACGGTCATTAAGGACCGCAGATGTACCTAGTACGTCCGTGGCAAATAGGAGCCCTGGACCGGCGATCCGCAGTGATCACCGTCCACAAGCATATTATCATAGGTAACATGCGTAACAGTTGGAGTAATGGAGAAAACATACACCTTTTTAATTTTTTCAATTTGTATTTTATTAGCTTTAAAATAGCATATACAACTTTTCCAATATATTCAAGTAAGTATCATGTGTGAGCATAGTGATATCGTAATGGGTACAATAATAGGATTCAGTAACGGGGTACAGTGACCCAAGCCCCGTCATATTCGCTGCAATGAATCTCGTTGGTCGCTTTGTTGACTGTGAGGGCCGGTGGCCGAGTCCTGTGTGCTGTTGGATTATGATGAATCCCAAAAGGAGCTTCCGACGTCGTCTGTCGCTGTGCGATCCCCATTTACTTGTAGGATCTAGGTCCTGCGACTCTGGGCAATGGTTTCAGTCCCTTGACTTTGTTGCAGGCTGTGCCTGCGTTTGTTGATGTTCTCCGATTCCTCTGGTTTTTTGGTAGGTGGTGAGGTCCCCTGACAGGCCAGCAAGTTGTGGAAAGAGCTCTGGGTCATCCTCCGATGTTATTGAGCGGCTCTCTCCCCCGATTTCTGCTAGGAGGGACCCCTCCATTCCCCAGTTGTAACGTATATTTGTGTCTCTTAGTTTTCTGGATATGGGTGCCAGTTTTCTTTTTTCCGTGAAGGCAGAGAATGGTGTATCTGGGTATATAGCTACCCTGTGGCCCTCATTCGGTATTGTCCCTATTTCTCTGGATCTTGTCATTATGACAGATCTCACGGAGATGTCCCGGGTCCTCATAATGATGTCTCTGGGTGTTGCGTTGGGCGCTGTTGCAGACTTCCTCGCTCGAATTTGCCAAGGTGATCTGTAGCGTGTTGGGGCTGCCTCTAATGCCCATGGCTGTTATGCTGTTGTGAACGTAGGGTAGGAGCTATGCATTGTCGACCGTTTCGGGGACACCTCTGAGGCACAGGTTTTTACGCCTGTGTCTCACCTCCATTGTGGTCACTGTGCGTCTCAGTTGTTGTACCTGTGAGGAGAGCATTTGTAGGCCATGGTCTGTAGCCCAAAGTTTTTCATCACTGGAAGTCTCTCTTGTTTCTAGGCCTTGGACCTTTTGGTGTACCTCCTCCACCTCTGTCTGGACTTTTTGGAGGTCTTCCCTCCAGACCTGCCTTAGCTCCACCAAGAGCCTCTTTTTGTCACCTTTCGTGGCAGGAGCCTTGTCTTCCTCAGACTCCGGTGTGTAAGATCTGGCATCCGATCGAGGCGAGGGTAATGATTCCTCATCTTCCAGGGGGGCCTCAGGTGCCATCTTAGGTCTCTGTGGGCCTCTCAAAAGATAGTCTTATATCAGGCTGTTGGGGCCTAGCTGGACCGTGGTTCCTCTTATTTTTCTTCCCCATTGTCTCTGCTTGAGGGTGTCTGTCTCTCGGGTGAAATCGCTGCGTTTTTTGTGGCTTTTATCATGTTTTGCTTTGGGTCTAAGCGGAGCTCTGCGAGAAAACGTTCACTCAGTATCGCTGCCGGCCACACCCCGAACATGCAATTTTTTTTATATAATAACATATTCCAGCTATGCTTCCATGGCTAGTCTTAAACAAAAGATCTAACTAAAGTTTCAGCGATTTAACCACTAATGAGTAATCAGAGTAAAGTGTACTGGGGAAGCTATAGCACTGCTTAGTAATGACACAAAGGAGTTACACCTTATCATAGTACTAGCCTGCCGGAGGTGGGCTTTAATGCAGTGTCCCAGAGATTAAAGAAACACAGGGTCTGAAAGGGACTGAGGAGTTCCCAAAATAACTACCTAAACACTTTTTAATAGTGTTGTTAGTGCTACCCTCCATGAGGCTGCTGCATTTCTCAGATCAGGTGGAGGAGGTTAGCTAAACATAAATGAAAAACCAGGGTACAGCGTAAATCAAGTGCCTAGAGCAGGCATAGGCAATCTTTGGAACTCCAGATGTTTTGCCACCATTGTGGGTGTAAGAGCATTATGGGGGATGTAGTTAACAACATCTGAGGTGCTGAAGGTTGCCTACCCCTGGCCTAGAGCATGAGTGTGGCTAATGTTGGGTAGCTCTGCATAGCCGGCACTGGGCCCTGGATGGAAAGTCCAGCGTCAGCCAACACCAATACCATGAGGCAGTGTAGGGCAGGGCTAAGTATAGCCTCCCTCCAGCCCTGGACTTTATTGAGGGCCTGTATCTCTGTACCACAGACTCAGGGTCTCACATGACGGCACATGCAGCTTTTCATGGTACATAGAGCTTCAGAGTCCAAGTCCTTTCCAACTGGGATGCGGCAAAGTCCCTTGATGGTCGTTTGGCGCCCAGAATTGGGTGAAGATATCATGCGCATCTGCCATTTTACGGGAGGGTGCCGTAGCCTGCGCAGGTGCGGTTTCAGCTGCCTTTGTTCAATGTGATGAGTGGGGCTGATCAGCACGGACTAGTATAACCACTGCCGGTCTAAGGGGCGGGGGGAGGAGAGGTGATACACAGGAGTCTCACTTCTGCTAAAGAACCAGGAGAGCGGCCGCCTCTCCATGGCTCTAATTCATGTAGGCTGCAAGCCTCGATTTGGGTAGTCCAGAGTTGGAGGTGCCCATTTAAGGTATTGCCAGATACAGCAGCGTCCTGCGGGCAAGATTAGTGAAGGCTGTGGTCAAGATGTGCCCTTAGTCAGGGATTGCACCCCGATATTCGTTGCGAGGCACAGGAGTTAAGTACGTCTGGTCTGCCTGGCAGTCAGGCTCCGCAAGGCAATCAGAGTGACATCTCTAATAGCAATGCCGTAAAAACAACTACAACAGAGATGTAACAATAGTCCCAAAACTGTCAGGGTTTAACAAACCATTTAGACATTTTAAGGAAACAGATAGCTCTAAACTGTGACTCTCACTCATAATGGGGTAGTATCACCTAAACAGTGGAAAAACAGTGTGAATAAAACCTAAAAACAGGGGGGCGGGGCCGAGCGGCCATGCTAGCAGGCTGCAAGTCACTATGGCTCCTGAGGATTTCAGCTAATATTTGGCAAATACCCAATTAACTCAGCCTGAAACACCCTGGAAACTTTTGGTACAAGATCCTGGAGTGTCCCGGTGTAGCTACGGCACCTGATATCGGGTGGCTCTGGGTCCCGGTGAGATGCTCTGGGGCTTGGGGAGTGGAGCAGACGGCTGCTGCCTCGCTTTCCACCCCGGTTAAAGAGAAACACAACGCGGCTGGTGCCCTCCCGGCCCTGTTCACCCCCTCTTTGGACCAGTGGGGGTTATCCCAGTCCCCACCAGGCAAGCAAACACCATTAAGGCGCTCCTGGGCGACTTGACGCCGACCGCCAAGCAGCCCCAACAAAATGGACAAAAGTGATGCAACTACCTCACAGGCCGGTGGAGATAGACCGCGCTGATGCAGAACTTACACACCACGCAGCCGAATCCATGAGTGCCCCTGGACTGCAAATGTAGTAAAGAGGGGAAGACGGCAGCTTATACCTTTACCGCCTACTCACACTGCAAGCTCAGTACCTGCTCCGATTGAGAACGGCTTTCCTCAGCCTCCTACCACCAAGCCCACAGACCATCACTGGGGGAAGGCCCGGAAAAGGTATCCCCGTATAACAGCTTAAACACACTACTACCCGCAATGTGATCTGTACCGCACAACACCCGTACTCACCTCACAACCGGATTATACGACCACATCGACCCCCGTTAACTGTGCCCTGGGGCGGGTTGTCGGGACCCAGTGGACTTTGTCGGCCTGCAGAGAGTATCCTCGTGCTCGAGAAGAGGATGCTTATTAACAGCATTCACGATGCAAGAAACGATGGCTGCTCCAACTCCTCACGACGGAAGACATGAAAGGCGCAAACCATGGAATTCACCACGGACAGCCTCACTAAAGGTCACTCTGGCGGCATTCACCGCTACACTGACATATATGTTCGTAATGTCACAGTCACACTTGCAATACATAGCGGTCTTTAACACCCCGACCCTTGCAGATGATGACCCAGTGTGCCACGATCTGCCTGGTGCTATTTTATTTTACTTTACGTTACCTTATTTGACTAAGCACCTTATTTAAGTTAAATTATTTTATAAAAACGCCAGGAACACGTCTGTTTTTTTTTTTTTTTACTATAATTTTACTAACTACACACTTAACTTCAGACCCCAAGCAACCTCTTAGTATAAGGCTTCAGAATGTGCGGTGGCCCCACTTAATATAAGCAACGGGATCTAACGAGTTTAAACGTATAAAGTTTAGAATGTACAACGAGTTAAACGTATAGTGTTTAGTACGTGCAACGGGCTTAAATGCATAATGATTAGTATGTATAACGAGTTTACATGTATAATGTTTAGCATGTGCAACGAATGTAAACGTATACTGTTTAGTAAGTTTTGAAGGTCACCGTGACAGATATTAAAGCAATGAAACATGACATGAATATGTCCCCAAAGCATGTTAATATTACGGGTTACAGGACCAGCCACATATAATGCTGCCAACCACTGAGACATATGGGCTTTCCTAGTAACCAGACCTATCATCAATAATATAAAAAGTGCATTGTCCCGCATGTTACACAACTGTTACACTCTACCTGATGTTTTGAGCGCACCTGCTGTTGTGGCAGTGCAAGCTTGTATACCTAACTTATGCACGAATAAGATAAAGAATTTAAAAAAATAAATAAAAACAGTGTAATCCAAGAATAAACCACAGCTTACAGAAAAAACACCTTAGTCTGCAGAAAAATGATAAAAAATATATCTACAGTCAGTGGCAAAAATCAGTACTTATAGTGGGGCGCACCTCCAAAAGGATGCTGAAGCCTAGATAGATGCCATGCAAAGATGATCTTAATAGTGAAGTATACAGCGAGCTCAAATCTTACCCTCAACTTTGGGCAGGAACTGTGAGTACCAGTGCACTGATGTAGTAAGGAGTCCAATGTAGGACAAGCGCGCCAAACATCTACACAAACCCGAAGCAAGGGAGCACACTGAGCTGGGGTAGCGTGGTGAGCCGCGGCCGGTAACTCTTCAGGAGAAACAGGGCTTTCATTTCACATAAAATATTTAGATATGAAACTTAATATAATATGAAGTATTTTCCTAGCTATTATTCATGGAAGCATATAATACATTCACAATGGAATCATATATAATATGACTATTTTCTTGCTGTATTAGAAAAGGTGACTCGCATGAAAGAGCCCAAGTTCTGAGATTCTTTACATGAATTGAGTGCCACTAGTAGGACAGTTGTGATAGTAAAAGTCAACATTGGAATCTTCTCCAATGGTTCAAATGGAGTACCAGACAAGGCATGTAACACCAGAGGCAAGTCTCAGGGAGGCGAGCAAGACTGCATTGGGGTACTTAGTTTAAGGACAACTTGAAAAAATACCCCAATATCAGGATCGAATGCCAACTTTTGATCCAAAAGACCAAGTCCTTTCTCAAATCCATCCTGAAGGAATTGAAGAATGTTACAGGTACCAGGAGACTGAAGAGAGACCTCACGAACCACGCAACAGCTGTAGAAGATGCCACATATGCGGTAATAGGCTGAGGAGGTTGACATTTTTCTTGCATCGAGCAAGATGTCAACTACTGGTGCTAAGAAGCCTTTCTTTAAGAGACATTGCCTTTCAATTCCCACACCGTCATATTTAGAGAGTGGGGTGCAGGATGAAGTACTGGGCAATAATTGATCAAGGCATGACAGATATAGAAGGATGTCCTGAGATAATTTTTGTAGCAGAGGAAACCACAGGCGTCGGGGCCATTATGGAATGAATGCCAGGACCTTAACTTGCTGGATTCTTCTCAGCAGAGGGAATATCAAAGGAGTTGGGGGGAAAAAAATCACATCCTAGATGGAATCTCCACTCACAATAGAGTGCATTCCTGTTTTCCGGTTGAAGTAAAAAGAGAAGAGTCTTTCCACTTTGCTATTCCGGGCTGTTGCCACAAGGTCTACTTATGCAAGGCCCCATTTTCAGACTATGCAATGGAATGCTTGGGAGGAGAGTGCCCATTCTGTGGGGTCCAATAATACTCTGCTCAAGAAGTCTGCCAACTGATTATCCTTGCCTGGGAGATACACTGCCTTCATGCCCTTTAAATTATTTTCAGCCCATGTCATTACAGGTGACTACATTTTCATTAAATGCTTGCTTTTTGTCCCTCCCTGATGGTTGATGTAAGCAACAACATATTTTCTATCCTCACCTTTACCCAATTTTGTTTTAGAGAGGGCTGGACAATAGCTTGGAATACAGCTTGTAATTCTGAGACAATTGAGGATTGATGAAAAGATTTGTGTTTCCATAGGCATCTGTTGTCAAAGTGATCCAATGGATATTTCCCAGAAGGAATCCTCAATACAAATTCTGATCGACCAGCAACCATGAGAGTTCCTTCTTGACCATGGTTGATATGAATATTACTTTATTCAGGGAGTATTGGGAGAGAAATTCCCTTTGAGGGATCACCATGTGCCATTGGGCTCACCTTGTAAGTCCTATTGTTAAAGACAAACTCTCTAGAAGACTTATGAATTTAATGCCAGAATTGAGAGAGATGAGATGTAAAATTTTTTAATGGATCCGTTGTACGCTTTATGAAAATAGGAATACTCGTGAGCTGGCTGTGTCAAACCTTGCACCTAGATTTACCATCACCTGGCATGGAGAAAGCTGGCTCTTCTTGAAATTGATCATCTAGCCAAACTTCTGGAGAAGGAGAAGAATGATGCCTTCCAATCAGATGCACTTTTGAGAAAGTTCTGGGTGCTGTGCTGAGATTAAACGGAAGAGCCTGAAACTGGAAATGTTGATAGAGCACAGTGGACCTGAGAGAGTTCTGTTGAGGAATAGCAATGGGAATGTGAAAGACAGCATCATGAAGGTCTGTGGAAACCATCCAATCTCCTGCAGAGATGGCTTTCATAATGGAACTGACTAATTTCATCTTGAATCTTCTTACACACAATTCTTAATTTAGCCCATGTAGATCAAGAATTGGTCTCCATTCACCTGATGCCTTTGGAGTCAGAAAGAGACTTAAATAGTATGCCAATTCTCTTTCTTCTTGAGGAACAGGACAAATAAATCATTCTGTTAAAAGGGAAGTTATGAACGAATGAAGAGCTTCCTTGTTCCCAAAAAACGAGATTGAGGAATGGTGGAAAATTCCAGAAAATAACCTAGGTTTAGGATCTTTAAAATCCACTTGTCTGATTGAGCTCAGACCTTGGAGAAGTTCAGAAGTCTTGCTTCCACTTCCCAGGACTGGACTGGTATTTCATCAGAATTGTTTAGATTGTCTGGTACTACCACCTCGTCCTCTAGTACCTCATGGTAAAGAGTAACTGTGACATCCCACCGCTGCCACCAATGTGATGGACTGCCTGGCACCCCAACTGGGTACCTCCATCAATCGCTGCTTCCTAGTACCATAAGCACTGCACTGGAAAACCATAACCACCATAAACCCTACGAACCGCCGCAGCTTGGTTGGGGTCTCGCCATCCTCCACCCACCCAAGACCAGGATCCAGCTTACAATAGGTAAACCTCTCCTAGTCCAGAGAGCATAGCAGGAACAGCTTTTACAAGAGCTTAGTGATTATACTCAGGGGAGTATAGTGATTATAGCAATCCCCAGAGTGAATGTAGTTCTCCAATCCCCCAAACATGAGCCTAGACTTCATGAAGGGTAAAACAAGGGTGTTTAATGGAAGCCACAGCTGGCCTTTTATGCAAGTCCCCAGGGACACAAAGCTTACAAACCGATCAGAACAGTAATTAAATGTACGACACTCCCACACACAGCACACAATCCCTCCCCTCTGCATGGGAGATAATTGAGTAAAGTACATTATGTAACTCAATTATCTCCAGGCAGAAAAATCACATGTTTTATCAAGTCTCATAGGTACCCCAAAACACAACATATCCCTATAAAGTTACATACCCTGATAGCCCTGATCTGGGTGACCAACATATCCAAAAATCACCCAGATCAGGGCAGGGGTTCAGGAAATTCCTGGAAGTCTTATTTTTGATCGACCAAGCACATGGTCCCATGCCCAAAACAGTTTCAGAGAATTAGTGCTAACGGTCGGGCTCTCTGTCTGGAGTACAAAAGTACATACTTCATATGAACACAGCCTTTTAAAGTATTTTAGCCAGGTCTATTGCAGGGGCTATAGTTACAGGGTAAGAGGCTGGCCAGCAGGCTCCTCCAAGAACCAGTGGCGAAGTTCAGTTCGTCAGATCTCTAACCAGGAACCTGACCTCCTGTCGATCGGTACGTGAGTTAGTCGAGTAGCCCACCCATAACCAAGTACTTGACCTGTAATTCTCGAGTGTCCATCTTTGTCCTATCGGTCCCAGGCTGCAGAGTGAGCATCCGCCAGCCCCGATCTCCCTTGTGCTCCCAGGCATGGGGATGTAGGTACTCGGTGGGCAGAGGCCAAATGCGCTCTGTCCTGGTGCCAGCGCTTCTGCTGGGGGGACTGGTCCTGCCCTGTAACAAGGGGGCAGGTAGGGCAGAGGCTTGCTGCTCTCTGCCCTGATGCCAGCTCTTCTGCTGGGAAGATGCCAGGGGGCCAGTCTCTGGACAACAGCCCCAGCTGCTGATGGATATGACCGACCTTCTCCACTCCCTGTATCTTTCCCTGTGGTTGGGGAGGGGGACTGACTGTCTCCTCCCAAGGTGTCTCAGTTGCTGCTGGGGAGAGAGGGCAATATGCACACTGCCACTGGCGAGTGAGACCGACCGTCTCCACTCCCAATAACTTGCCCTGCCGCTGTGGAGAGAGACAGTTTGTCTCCTCTCCCTGTAACATAAGCTGCCACTGGAGAGGGCAGACGATATGCTCCTCTACCTGAAATGCACACTGCCGCTGGGGAGAGGGACCTGTTGTCTCCTCTCCCTGTAAGGTAAGCTGTCGCTGGGGAATCGAACCGACTGTCTCGACTCCCGGTAACGCTGCCTGGTGCAGAACTGCTTGTTGCTGCTGGGATGAGGGACTAACAATCTCCTCTCCCTGAGATGCTGCCTGGTGCTGGGTAGTGAGACCGACTATCTCCACTCCCAGGGATGCTTGCTGCTGTGGGGTACCTCTGTCAATCGCGGCTTCCTAGTACTTGCGAGTACCATAAGTACTGCACTGGAACACCATAACCACCTTAACCCCACAAACCACCGCAGCTTGGTTGGGGTCTCTCCATTCTCCACCCACCCTGGACCCAAGACCAGGATCCAGCTTCCAGTAGGTAGACCTCTCCTAGTCCAGAGGAACGTCTGTCCTGTAGAAAGGATGTTTTTGTATGTCAGTTGGTTAAGGGAGAAAGGTTTTTGTCCTTCTACAGCTCTCTTAACGAATTCATCCAGTGGTTTGCTGATGTCAGGGTCTTACCTGGGTTGGGAGTCTGTAGCGCAGATATGTTGCTCACCCTTGCAAATAGCCACAGGCCAAGGTGGTCAGGTAAGAATTCACCTGGCCTGTGGGTCTGTGCACGGAGGCTGTGCAGAATGAAGTTCCAAGTCACAGTGCAGGCAAGGACTCAAACAGCAGGATTGTCAAGGGATAGCCCAGGTCAAAGGATGCCAGAGGACAGGAACAACGAGGAATAACCGAAGTCAAGGGATGCCAGAGTAAACGATGTCAGAAGCCAGGGTCAATATGAAGCAGAGTAACAATAGACAGGAACACTGGTATGGAACACACACAAGAGGATCAAAGACTTGATCCAGATCACAGGGCGAGGCTGAGTTTATATACCCTGCTGATATCTGATCAGGATCAGGTGAAGCACGGCTATCGACAAGGACCATCCCCCAGTGCTGCAGACAAGCCAGGATCAATAGAACTGAAATAGGTTGTCAGAAGCAAAGCTTCTGTGGCTCAGAGGAGGAAGCAGGACCAGAACCACCAAGTACCCAGGTTTGAATCCTGACAGTACCCCTTCCTCAAAGCTGCCTTTAGGCGAGAAAAGAAAAGCAACTATGGCCCAGGAGGTCACTTTTTAGATTTCTTGGCTCTGGTTTTGCCAGCAGGCCACCAAGTACCCAGGTTCGAATCCTGACAGCTGAAAAGCATATCCCCTTGGAAGGGGAGGGCACAAAGACTGTTTTTTAAAGCCGAATCTGCTACACAGTTTCTCAGCCACAGAGCTCGCCTAAAGGCTACTGAGAGAACCATGTGTTAGGGACACTGTTTAGTTGAAGAAGCCCATGATGCAGAAAAGGCTGAGAGCACGGAATCCGGTGTGCAGTACAATAGAATCAAACGAAGAGTGGTCAGGAAAGCCAAAAGGTCAGGACAGGTGGCTCAACATCAGGAAAACAACAGGACAGGCACTGAGGGTATGAACACCATAGGAGCACAGTAAAACTGAGAAATTAGTATTAGTAGGAGTGGAGTTTAAATAGGAAAAGGGAGGTATGTCACTTAGGTTCTCTCCGCCTCCTGAATACGTTCCTTTGTCAGTTCCGCCCTCTGTCCCTTTAAGAAATGGTTGCTTCAGCATGAGATAGTGCCCTCCTGTTCTGTCTGGTATGCTGACTGCTGGTCTGCAGTGCCACTCGTGGGATGCGGTACCACTTGTCCCTATGTTAATGCGGCTAGTTGGAGGTGGTGAGCGGGCTGACCACGTGGTGCAGGAGGTTGCACTTCAAGCCAGCACCTCCATGCAGACAGAGGAAGACGGACCAGGTCGATTGAAACATCAGAAGTGAAATTTATTGTCATTTTAAAATTATTTAGAAAATCCAAAAGTCTGGATCTACTGACCTCACTAGAAATATCCTCTTTGAGGTCCTTCACAGAGGTAACATGGGCATTTTTCCAAATTAGAGTCCATCTGTTTGTCCATTGGATCTCTCAATGATCAAGCATTATCAATTGGTAAAGTGGACTTTTTAGCCAGAAGCACAATGGCATCATCAACTTTGGGTGCCAAGTCCCAAGTGGAACTATCTTCTGACTTGAAAGGGTAAAGCTTGGACAGCCTGCCTTGTACTGCAACCCCTTTGCCTTGTACTGCTACTGTAACCACAAAAAAAGTGTGACTTACTCAGAATCTCTTGAATGCAACCTATTTTATTCAGTACAAAAATGCAAACGATTGAGAAAATTAAACATAATCAACGTTACATAAAAAAGCACATAGAAGGCTTATCAATAAACTGCAATCTTTAAGTTTGGATTCCAATATTGTTGAATGGGTAAGGCAATGGCTGAGTGACAGGCAACATAGGGTTGTAGTCAATGGAGTATATTCGAAGCATGGGCTTGTCCCCAGTGGGGACCTCAGGGATCTGTACTAGGACCCATTCTTTTTAATATTTTAATTAGTGATATTGCAGAAGGTCTTGATGGTAAGGTATGTCTTTTTACTGATGATACCAAGATATGTAACAGGGTTGATGTTCAAGGAGGTATAAGCCAAATGGCAAATGATTTAGGTAAACTAGAAAAATGGTCAGAGTTGTGGCAAATGACATTTAATGTGGATAAGTGTAGGATAATGCATCTTGGACATAAAAACCCAAAGGCAGAGTACAGAATATTTGATGGAATCCTAACCTCAACATCTGAGGAAAGGGATTTAGGGGTGATTTCTGATGACTTAAAGGTAGGCAGACAATGTAATCAAGCAGCAGGAAATGCTAGCAGAATGCTTGGTTGTATAGGGAGAGGTATTAGCAGTAGAAAGAGGGAAGTGCTCATGCCATTGTACAGAACACTGGTGAGACCTCACTTGGAGTATTGTACGCAGTACTGGAGATCGTATATCCAGAAAAATATTGATACTTTAGAGAGAGTTCAGAGAAGGGCTACTAAACTGGTTCATGGATTGCAGGATAAAACTTACAAGGAAAGGTTAAAGGAACTTAAAGGACCACTCTAGGCACCCAGACCACTCCAGCTTAATGAAGTGGTCTGGGTGCCAGGTCCAGCTAGGGTTAACCCATTTTATAATAAACATAGCAGTTTCAAAGAAACTGCTATGTTTATTATTGGGTTAAGCCTTCCCCCAAAGCCTCTAGTGGCTGTCTCATTGACAGCCACTAGAGGCGCTTGCGTACTTCTCACTGTGATTTTCAGTGAGAGCACGCCAGTGTCCATAGGAAAGCATTATGAATGCTTTCCTATGTGACCGGCTGAATGCGCGCGCAGCTCTTGCCGCGCGTGCGCATTCAGCTGACGGGGAGGAGAAGAGGAGGATCGGAGGAGGAGAGCTCTCCGCCCAGCGCTGGAAAAAGGTAAGATTTAACCCCTTTCCCCTTTCCAGAGCCGGGCGGGAGGGGGTCCCTGAGGGTGGGGGCACCCTCAGGGCACTATAGCTTGGAAGAAAGACAAGACGGGGGGATATGATCTTTATTTTTGAAGTGCAATGTTATTTGTACAAGCTTGTTTGATCATTGTAAAAGATGTACTGCAGCATAAAACACGTTGAACATGACATACGATGAGAAGAAAATAAATGCCCTGTTTTTTTGATGTGTTAAAGACATGGAATTACAAAGTGTGGCTTAATGTAGAGTACCACGCAGGATCCTTATGGTTTGCGTTGCCTTCAGGCTAGGTAGCTGGCAGGTGCTATATACTGAAAGTATAAGTGGTCATGTTTCAGCATGTGTGCACGACATTAGTAGGTTCTACCGGCTATACATATTGACCTGCACAATGCAGTGTCGGTCAGGCTTGGTTAAGAAAGAGGTATTGAACCTTGTCATGATCAAGATAGTAGTTGTGTTGTGAGTTATGATATGTTTCATGATGTGAATGTGATATAGGTGGATGGCCTTTTGTGATGTACTTGGTTTGCACATCTTATGTGCCCATCTTTGGGGAGGGGGAGTGAAGGCAGTGGCCATGTGGGGGCTATCTGGTAAATAGTGGGCCTGCCTAAGGTAGGGTGGGTAGACAGGATATGACCTAATGTAGGGCTTAGGTCTTAAGGACGATCTGAGTGCCCCTTACCTAGAGGGTGGCAGGGGGAGGTAGAGACTCTTGTGAAGGTGATGCAAGGACAGTCTAAGACTGTGTACATATTCCCAACAGAAGCTACCTGCTTCAGAACACATCCAAATGTAAAACAGAAGAAATATAACTTAAAATAATGACTATGCGGGGAGCGGAGAAAGCAGACATACTGGCAATTCGCACATCACTGCAGCTCCAAGCACACTGGCACCAAAACGGAAAATAAACCTACAAAAAACCACTGACAATACCAGAGCCAGATACTCACCAACTATTATGGGATGTAGGAGCAAGAAGAGCAAGCCTGATCGACGCCCATCCACGGCCGATAACAGTGATTTACTGTGCAGGCCGCAGTTCTTACAGAGGCCTGTCATGGCGCCGCTCTCAGATGCTCCATCACGCACTACCAGCGAGGAATCCTTGTACGGCAAGATGCCCTATGAGGCCCGGCTACCCAACAAGATGCAGCACTCACCTCAGAAGCAACCTGACAAGCCTCCGGTCACAGAGGACTCTCTGTGGGGCATGCCAGCTGAACTCCACCGCAACATCACGGCTGACGTTGGGTAGTTCCGGGAGGAGGTAAACGGATTTGCAGCCTGTCTCCACAACTCAGCACAGCAGCGCACGAGAACCATATTGCAACCCTAGAGCAGTCCCTAACCAAACTCCAACACTCCCAAGCGTGATCTAAGGAACACATGGCGCCACTAGAAGACAAGCGAAAAAGAGAGCGCAATGACCGAGCAGAGACACAATCCTCTGCCACAAGACATCACTCGGGTTCGAGGAGTACAACCTCTGGGCCTTCTGCAGCCGCAATCTTGTGCGGCAGTGGCCTTTGTAATAGAATACCGACATCCCGCGTTTCGGTAGTGATACCTGTGGGTTGCTGTTGGGATCTGCGCCCCATGGCCAGAGTGTCTTTAGTTTGCCCTTATCAGGCTTGACCAGCTTTGAGGTTGCCAGCGTCTGTCGCAGGCCCTCCAAATACCAGTTTGAGCTCGGGGTGAGGTAGGCCGCAGGTTTACGTTTGACTTTTTGCCTCTTCGGGGTGTGAAAGAATGGCATCCGTCCAGTCAGTGAGACACAGTGGCTTAGTATCTTCGTGTCTTGCCCCAATTTGCGAGAGTATTTTGCGTTTTTGTGCCAATTTAGCAGGAGCTCCTAGGATATGCGTCTGTTCTCCTTTAGAGTCAAGCTCAGCCCCCATGATACTTCTGAATATAGAACATTTACCACTGTGAAATTTTGAGACAGGCATGGTCTTTTTCACTCACTCCAACACAGCCAGTAAAGAGAGGCAGGCTGTGTTATTAGGACTGTTAAATGGACACTATAGGCACCCAGACCACTTCACCCCATTGAAGTAGTCTAGGCACAGTGTCCCTATTGCACTTAGTGCTGCAATGTAAAACATCTTTGCATTGTAGCACTAAGTCTGCCTCCAGTGGCTGTCTGCCAGCTTTGTATTCCTGGCACTATAGTATCCCTTTAAATGACCACTATGGGCACCCAGACCACTTCAGCTTAATGAGGTGGTCTGGGTGCCTGGTCCATCTAAGGTTAACCCTTTTTTCTATAAACATAGCAGTTTCAGAGAAACTGCTATGTTTATGTTAGGGTTAATCCAGCCTCTAGTGGCTGTCTCATTGACAGCCGCTAGAGGGCTTCCGCGCTTCTCACTGTGAAGACGCCAGCGTCCATAGGAGCGCATTCAGCCGAAGAGGAGAGGTCCCCGCCCGGCGCTGGAGAAAGAGGTAAGTTTAACCATTTCCTCCACCTAGAGCCCGGCGGGAGGGGGACCCTGAGGGTGGGGGCACCCTCAGGGCACTATAGTGCCAGGAAACGAGTATGTTTTCCTGGCACTATAGTGGTCCTTTAACCCCTTAAGGACCAAACTTCTGGAATAAAAGGGAATCATGACATGTCACACATGTCAAGTGTCCTTAAGGGGTTAAGTACCAAAACCCCACATGCTCTAATGGAATTGGCTGCTTGCCTGCTACCGGACATACCCAGCAACAGTTGTGTACATACCTGTGACCTGCCCGTCACTCCAGGGGGGCCCAGCCGCCCTGCGACCGGATACCAGCTGCCGCATTTTGCCACATGTTAAAGAAGTCCATCGGGTGGCCCATGCTGTCAGGGCCACCCAATGGATATGGATTGACAGGGGGCCCAGTCAGCACCCAGCGCTTTAACAGCACGACCGGGCCCCCTGTGATGACATCACTGCTGGGAGCAAGTGACTCCCTGGTCAATCCTCCCAGCATACAGAGAGCCCGCGCGGGAGGAAGCAGGAACTCACACACCCCAATGGCAGGCCCTGGCATTAGGGTTTTAGCTAGGTGTCTTCAAGATGCTGTGGCCTGTAACTCATCCTCTAATACTTTAAGGTTTAGACATATTATGGGACTGGAGGAGAGGAACCATAAACAATGCTATAATGGTGCTGCACACATTTTAAAGTTGCCAAATTGAAGTCACCATTTTTAAACTGAACTGAAACCGGTTGCATATACACCTGAAAAAAAATAAAGCTGGAAAAATCCCAGGACACCCTGTAGTTAAAAAAGGGCAAGTGAATCACACTTTATTTCATGATACTGTCCAGAAGGATAGATGGTTTATCCATACTGTCTGCTCCTACACAAATGCACATTTCAAGACCAAATGGCTACTGTTTGCTGATACTGATAACCGCTGGGACGAGCTGGCCAATAACCAGTAATAACCTATTCCCTAATCACAAATGGCGGCCCCAACAATCACATTCAGCGCAACATGGCGCCATCGGAGAGTGACAAAGTGCACCGGAAGTCAAAGGAGCTCTAAACACCGCATCCAATGAGACCGAAACCTGCACGCCTTCCCAACAGAGATTGTAACACATTGACCTTTAGCCCTGATGGGCAAAATGCTCAACTGCTATTGACATCTCCAATATGGCGTCTAACGGCTGGCATGGAATCTCTAATGAACTGATGAACTTGTGTTTAGAACTCTGGGCCGTACGTTTACTGCGTCCCCACGCTCCCGGAAGTGGGTGTTGACGTTGGTGGGGGTCTTGGTGTGTCGCACCTTGTGGTGTGCTGGTATTACGGGTACAGTACGTTTTGTTGAGGCCGTTGTCTGATCGGGTCAGTTCGGTTATCGCTTGGTGGCGGCGAGCGGCTAATTTAGTGTCTGGCTTGAGGTCTCAGTGAGGCCTAGAGAGCAGGCGGCGGAAAGCGGTATGTACAGGCCCGGCCGGGCCAGGTGGGGACGGGTTGGTTAACGGCTTCACATACTTGTATCGTCTGCTCTATCTGTATCGGCAGGCCCGATTTCTGTAACCAGATAAACCGTGTATTTATATGCCATTAATCGTGGTAGCGTAATTGTAAATGTAGAATAAATGGTCCGAATGTAAACTGAGCCCATATTCGCTTTGCATGAATTAATGGCTTCAACAGTAAGGAAAAGGGGACAGAGGAGGTTCTTAGTGTAGTCTCATATTTTAGTTTAATGCACTTTTTTTTGAGCTATTTGAGACGATTTTATTTTTTTGCTCCATAATCTTGTCACTGGTTTAACTGCTCGTTCCTTACAGACTTGTAGTTGTTTTTTTCTAGATATATGATCTATCGTGTGGGTTAAAATTTATATTAAAGGAACCATCTTAGTACAATAACAGTGGTTTGTTTTTTGTTTTTTCAAATGTTTCTGTAATATTCATATATAATTTTTTTTCATTATAGGATGTTGTTAGTAAACTGAAAAGTACATTTAACTTTTGGAGAAACAAGTAGCAAAGCGTAAAGGGACACTATAGTCACCAGAGCAACTGCAGCCCAAAGGACCACTATAGGCTCCCAGACCACTTCAGCTCAATGAAGTGGTCTGGGTGCCAGGTTCCCCGTAGGTTTTACACTGCTGGGTTAATTCAGCCTCTAGTGGCTGTCTCCGCGATTCTGAGTGTGAAAATCACATTGAACTCACGCAGTGTGAGTTCTGATCTCCATAAGAAAGCATTGAGTAATGCTTTCCTAGGGGCGGTTTGAAAGTCTGCGTGTCTCTGGTCACGCATGCGACTCCACTCGGGAGCTAACGTCGTCAGGGAAGGAGAGGTCACCAGATCCGAGGGAACCCTGCACTAGATTAAGGTAAGTTTTAACCCCTACAGCCCAGAGGAGGTGTGGGGGACTTAATAACCCCACAGTGCAAGGAAAACTGTTTTTCCTGGCTTTATAGTGCTTCTTTAAAGGGACACTATAGTCACAAGAACTACAGTTTATTGTATTTGTTCTGATGAGTAGACTCAATCCCTTCAATCTTTTAGCGGTAAACATTGTTTTGTGTGTGGTTTTTTTTTTTTTTCCTTTTTTTTATTGAAAATGCAGTGTTTACAGCCTGAGGCCACTCCTCAGATGGCTGCTAGAGGTGCTTCCTTGGTCGGTCAGTGCTGTGCAATGTGCAGCACTGCTATTTAGTGCCTCCACCCTCTGCATGCAGACACTGATTTTTCCTCATAGAAACATTGATTCAATGCATTTCTTTGAGGAGATGCTGATTGGCCAGGACTATTTGATTTTCGCTGGCTCTGCCCCTGATCGGCTTCCTTGACAAGCTCAGCCAATCCAATGTTTTCCTGTGTGAAAACATTGCGATTGTCTCAGACCACAAGACCTTCTGATGTCAGCCAAGCAGGCACGTCGGAGGCAGAGCCAGCATCAACAGTCTAGAGTAAAGGCAAATTTTTGCTATATATTTAGTGGGGATTGATTGTGTTTTTAAAACTATAGGGTCAGGAATACATGTTTGTGTTCCTGACCCTATACTGTTCCTTTTAACGTAGTTGTTCTGGTGTGTATATTCTGTCCCTGCAGAATTTTTGCTATTCAGAGAAAAGGCTGTGTTTACATTGCTCTTTAGGAGCAGCTCATGTGGCCACTCCTCGGATGGCCACTGGAGGTGCTTCCTGGCTCAGTGCTGCACAAGAAAATGCTGAACTTTTTCTATAGAGTAGATGATCACAGCCAATCCAGCGCTTTGCTAAGGGAAAGCATTGTGACTGACTGAGATTGTCGGCCAAGGAGGCAGATCGGAGTGCCGTAGCTGAAATAAAGGTGAGTACAATCAATTTTAGGTGGAATAAAGGGGGGCAGTTTAACCCTATAGTTTAACGCTATAGGGTCAGGAATACATGTTCCTGACTTTGTAGTGTTCCTTAAATAAAAGATTACTATGCTTTCATTTAAAAGAACGCTACAGGCTCAGGAACACAAATGTGTCTTTTTGACACTATATTGTTAAAATCACCATTTAGGTTGCAGTGTCCCCTCTACCGCTCTTATGTGAAAGGGTAGTGTTGACAAGAAAATGCCTGCAGGGACATGCTATACTTACCAGAACTACATTATGCTGTAGATGTTTTGGTGACTATAGTGTCACTTCAAAGTGTTGTAATTATTGGGGGATCTTTCTTAGATGCTGATTTTTATTTTATAATTTCTCCTAACTTTCTGTTTGCATCCCTTTTAGCACATCTTGCTTCTGGTAGATATCTTATTGCTGAACATGTGTAGTGGTAATTATCTAATTGCTGAACAAATGTTCTCTTTTACAGCTGTTACGCAGAGCGCTTCTTTGGTGCAGTGCAAACTAAGGCGCAGCGCAGGCGTGGGTGATTAAATCCTATTTTAGTAAGAACCAAGCGCTACTAAAACCATGCCAAACAGGGAAAATTATGCAAATGGCGGCAGCAGCAGTGGTAGTGGCAGCGAGGAAGCTGGTGCGCCTGTGGATTTTGTGTGTCGGGACTTTCTGCGCAATGTTTGCAAGCGAGGAAAGCGCTGCCGCTTCAAGCATCCAGACTCTAATGATGTATCTGACCTTGGAGTGCAAAAAAATGAGTTTGTCTTTTGCCATGACTTTCAAAACAAAGAGTGTGTTCGTCTCAACTGTCGCTTTATTCATGGCACCAAGGATGATGAAGAACATTATAAGAAAACTGGAGAGCTTCCTCCCCGTTTGCGACAAAAAGTGGCAGCTGGTCTTGGCTTGTCTCCCACTGACTTGCCAAACAAAGGTGAGATTCCAATTTGTCGTGATTTCCTAAAGGGTGACTGCCAACGTGGTGATAGATGCAAGTTTCGTCACCTTCAACGGGAATATGAGTACCAATATGAATACCCATGTGATATACGGGGAGGGGCTATGAACACAGGAGTGGCCCCTGGAAATTTATCTGCAGCTACCACCCGTGCTTATGAGCACTATGGTGCTTACGAGGGCCTCCCAGAAACAGATTACTATTCCTCTTCTTATTACCGCTATGGTGAACGCTTTGATGATCCTGTAATGAAAAGAAGGCGTGTAGGATATGATGGATATTATAGTGCTTCCCCAGTAGAGTATCGTCTCCTGGAGGAAGAAAATGTTATGCTCCGCAGGCGTGTTGAGGACTTGAAAAAGCAAGTTTCTGTCCTGGCTGCAACTAATGAAGTTTTACTGGACCAAAATGCACAATTCCGCAGCCAGGCAAAAGTGGTTACACTAAGCACACTTAGCACTACAGCTCCAACTAGTGAACAGGCTGTTGGCACAGTGACCAACTACAACCATGGCATAGCCCAGACCCACACAACCCTGAGTAGCCAGGCATTGCAGCCCCGAGCAGTCACACAGCAAGAGCTAGTGGCATCCACTGGTGCACCACCTGCTGCTCAGACCAATGCAGCTGCTCAGCTGAACCCAGAAATCACCCCACTTTCTGCAGCGCTGGCGCAAACCATTGCTCAAGGTATGGCTCCACCTCCAGTTTCTATGGCACCAGTGGCAGTCTCTGTTGCACCAGTAGCTGTTTCCATGGCCCAGCCTCTTCCTGGCATTACTATGAGTCACGCCACTACGCCAATGGTTACCTATCCCATTGCCTCACAGAGCATGCGTATAACCGCCATGCCTCACTAATTATCCATACTGCTCCATGTCTGTAGATGTTTGGCAGCTACGGCTTTTAGCTATAGACAGAGCACTATCATTTAATGTTCAAGTAATTTGATCTTCATGTGATTTTCCTTTTTTAGAGCAGAAAATAAAGCGCTAAATGCAAAACTGTAGCACACTCAATATATTTTGAATATCAAAGTTGGAGGTAAAGAGTTCTTTTGGAAGTATCCTTAGTATGTGTTGAAGGAGCTTATTTTTGTCAAAATAATTTGCTTACCATGACAGCTTTCTACTGTTGACAGCAATTTTCCTTATTCCTATAGTTCCATAGTCCTGCAGAATAGCTCCCAACATGTATTATTAATCGTGTTGGTAGCCACATTTTGAACCTGAAAATAATATACAATTCTTGCTTAGAAGAGCCAGATTTTGCAGCCTGCATTGGTGATACTTTGTTGCTAATTATTTTCCACAAAATAAGCCTCCTTAATTTTGACATTTTCAGTTTTAATTTCTTTTCCAGTGGTATACAAATTATGTTATCTGGTCTCAGATATAAATAAATTGCCCTTCTTTCCTGCAAATAGGAAAGTGCAACATTTATATAAACGTCTGCTGTATGTGAAAGAGCAGAAATTAAAATGTTGGCAAAGAAACTATCAGTAAATAAGATCTGTTTAAAGATATTCAGTAGTTTGGGCATTGCTTTAGCCACCATTACTTTAGATTTTATCAGTTGATGGCTGTAATATTCTGTGATACTATTCCAAATCCAAGAATTACCCCACAAAGAAAATGTCCTCCCTGGAGATATTAATGTACAAGTCTAATTTTCATCTTGGGAGGTTCCTAACTTACCATTTAGAAAGTTGTAAATCATGTTCACCAAATATATTTTGTTAAATGTTTGCTGTTTTTGTAGCACCGGATCACCACCTTCCAGCACGCTTTATGTAAACATCTCTAGTTTCTCAAATTTAGTTGCATTGCTGAAAATCCATAATGCCAGTCACTTTTGTCAAGGAGTCTACTTCCTGTTTCTGTCTTAATTAGTGTTGTGGTTAGTGTAGAATGCTAGGCTGTAAAATGCTACGCTTAGGCTGCCCTTATAATTTATATATTTCTGCCAGGCAGTTTAAATTCAATCGCCTGCCTCACTTTAAACCAGATTTTATTTTATTTTTCTTCCTCCTATGTTTGTTACAAAGGACCAAGCATTAACCAGTTAAGTGTGAAATCTGGTTTGCAAACAGTCTTATGGTATAACTTTATTTTTTTAATTTTTTTTTTTAAGTCTGATCTGAAATGTTAGTTGTGATACCCATTTATATAAGTAAAGCCACAATATTTTTCTTTCTTTAATAGAAATTATACTTTTATTTTATAAAGCTGCCATAGTTTTATATTATTGAAAATAAAAATATGCATGTATCTGTCATTTTGGAGTGGAAACTTAAGATTAATGCCTCTTTTCAGTGCATCTCCTGGATTACACTTCTCCTATGTGGGCGGTGATCGTCAGTCCTCTCTGGTCGGAAACATAACTTGTGTGACCAAAGACATGCGGTTAATCGAGCTAGTTGGTATGCATTCTTTAATTCTGATTTCATGCCAAAGTGCTAAGCATGTCAGAAATGCAATCTGCGATGGTTTCAGACCTTCAAATTGTACATGGTTTTCAAAGATCAGGGATGTTTATGAACAGTGGGATAGAAGTGGCTGCCTAATGGAGCAAAGGTAATCCAGGAAACTCACTGTAAGGAGTTAATTTATCTACCCTTATTGCAAAATAGCACACAGGCTAGATTACATGTAATCTGTTATCTTCAGTGATTTAAAAAAAAAAATTTCTTTCAATAATTTTGTCATGGTTGACATTTGCATAAAGTGTATATTCACTTTCCATCATATTTTGATGTGGTTTAGTGGCAATTGTCTTTTTTATTTTATTTTTTTATTATTATTATTATTATAAATGCCAAAATAAAGTTGCTAGGATTACACATCTAATTTATGTAACAGATTACAGCTGAGGTAGTGTTTAACACCAATAACAACAAAATAGTTTTGTTTTGTCTTTTGTGTGAAAACCATTGATTACAATATAACAAATGTACAAAATAATCCAACCACCCAAAGCAGACATTTTATATACCTTTTCTAATATACATATATGACAGTATTGCGTACATTAAAATAATGGTGGGAAGAATGTACATCGTTAAGGTAATTTAGCTGCACTAATAATTTGGGGTGTAATGTTTCTAGTTTGAAATCCTTGACTTGTGCTCGTTATGCAATGTATACACTTTGTTGAGATTTTGTGTAGAGTGTGTTGTTTCCTGTTATTAAACATATAAACACCACAATCTGTGAGTTTTTCTGATCTCTTTACTTGCAATTAGTTGGTTTGATAAATCCATTGATGGTATGTTCAGGGCCGGACAAGCCCACTTGGCTGCATAAATGTTGTGATCGTTGGAGTCGTCCCGATCAGCCATTAAATGATGGTGAATGTAAAATGCCAAGCAACTGCAAAAATATGCTACACCATGCTGTTTGACATTTTTTTTAAAATCAGATATAAAACTGTAGTATCCGTTCAAAAGGGCATTCATAAGTATAATAATTAAAGGATCACTATAGGGTCAGGAACACAAACATTTATTATTGACCCTATAGGGTTAAAACCACCATCTAGGCCCCCATTATCCCTCCCATATAGTGAAATCTTACTTGAATGCAAATCTGCAACTGCATAGTTTGTCACTGTTTCCTTCTGACCTGCCTCTGCCATCGGCAGAAGTGCTAGTCTGATCCGATCACAGTGCTTCCCCATAGGATTGGCTGAGACTGAAAAGAAGGCAGATCAGGGGCAGAGCCAGCATTACTCAAACACGGCCCTGGCCAATTAGCATCTCCTCATAGAGATGAATTGAATCAATGAATCTCTTTGAGGGAGGAGATACTGAATGTTTGGATGCATTTTAGGCAGCCATGACCTAGGAAGGATCTCTAACAGCTATCTGAGGAGTGGCCAGTGAAGTTATCACTAGCCTGTAATGTAAATCCAGAGAAAATGCAGTGTTTACATTACAACACGAACAATCACTATGTGCTCCCAAAATGCAAGGAAAAAGCGTTCCTTTTCAAGACCGTAATAGGAGAAACAAAAAAACAGCCTGAAAAGGTCCTAGGGAATATATGTTAATCCAAAACACCAGTAAGGTGAATAATTGAATAATTATACAACCTGAGTAAAATACTCTATAGCATAATCTGTAAAATAATTGTATACATGGTGAAGCATGTTATGATAAAATATCAGGGTGGGGGTGGTAGAAAACTCACAGAATAGATGTATATTCAGGCATTTCTCCCATATAGGGTCAGAAGATATTCTCGGGAACAATTTTCTTGAAGTCTCAGCGTTATGAGGAGGAGGAGAAAAAAATAAAATATATATATATATATATATATATATATATATATATTAATTACACAAGATCCAGCGCACTCACCTATCCACTAAACAGCAACTTCAATGTTGAAAGATTTTATTTGTTTTTTTTAAAAACACCTAATCTAGGCAAAAATAATGAGGGTTTAGTTACATTATATGATCATACATTGCATTAGCCTGCCACAACGTCAATGTACCCCATCTTTGGCAGGTCCTACACTAAAAGCCTAATGTCTGCTCTTATGAGATTAACCTACTTGGGGAAAAAATTCCATCTGGGTCTCTCTGCAGTTCAAGGCTAAATAGGGCCCTGGGATGAGGCACCTGTGACAGGGAGGGGTGCAAAACCAAGGAGTTGGCTAGACTCCCAAATATATATATAAAACAAGGGGGGGATTGGCTGCACTCACCTTAACATGCATAAATGGGGGTGCTGCTGGGGGCCAAATAATACAATACAAAAGATCCAGCGCACTCACCTATCCACTAAACAGCAACTTCAATGTTGAAAGATTTTATGTTTTTTTTTTTTTAAAACACCTAATCTAGGCAAAAATAATGAGGGTTTTTATGGTTGTTTCTGTATAGCTTTTCCATAAATATTTCAGCATAGTATTTATGCTATACAGTATATTCATAACTATTTAGCTAATTATTCTCAGTATCCAGAGATATATCTATGTTTTCTCATCCATCATATGTTGTTAGATGTATGTATATGGTAGATATGTTTGCATGTATAAGGGATCACTTCTCTTTCTCTCCTCTTGGCATATTACATATATTATTCATACACTCTACTTATATATATATATATATATATTATCTTTCTGTATACATATACATATCTTTTGTCCCTGCAATACTTTTCATCTATACATCTATCTGCTATCTTTTGCCTTGGAGGAATATATATACTTTTATCAGTATATAGTATATCTTTGTATTATATCCACCTTAGACATTTCTGTATGGGGTCCACAGTGTTATGTAAGCCTTCTATTTAGCCCCCATTCCCTCCATAGTTGGTATATATTTACATTTTTATACAGATCACCTTTTAGTGATTAGTTTCAGTCACTTTAGCTCACACTCTGCGATCTGTACTACACGTTTGCAGTTTTGTTCACTTTCGTTGCTTAGCAACGTTGTAATCACGTGCGTCATCACGCCGGTCACGTGGTGCACACTGTCTCACTTCCGGGTTCGGACGAACAGGGAATCTTTCCCTCACATCTTTTTGGTAAGTGTCTATTGATATTTATCTATATATATGTATTTGTTTGCACATTATATTGATCTTGAAAAAGACCCTTTAGTGGTCGAAACGTCGATTTATCTGAAGATTTTTTTGCACATGTATTTTTGCATGTAAAATAAAACTAAGCACATTTCAAGACCTGTGAGTGCACCTTTTGTTTATATTTTTATATACATAACGCCAAGGTTTGCACCCAGGCCAGATTTACCTGATTTTTTCAGTAAAGGGTGAGTGCCAAGCTCTATCTCTTTCTCTCTATATATATATATATTTTTTTTTTCTCCTCCTCATAACTCTGAGACTTCAAGAAGATTGTTCCTGAGGATATCTTCTGACCCTATATGGGAAAAATGCCTGAATATACATCTATTCTGTGAGTTTTCTACCACCCCCACCCTGATTTTATCATAACACACTACACCATGTATACAATTTTTATTTCACAGATTATGCTATAGAGTATTTAACTCAGGTGAATAATTGAATAATTATACAACCTATCTGTTGTTTTGGATTAACATATATTCCCTAGGACCTTTTCAGGCTGTTTTTTGTATCTCCTATTACTTTAGTGTCTTGAAAGGGAACACTTTTTCCTTAAAGGGTCCACTTATATTTTGGGAGCATATAGTGATCGTGTTGTAATGTAAACACAGCATTTTCTCTGAAAATACAGTGTTTACAGCAAAAAGCCTGAAGGTAATGATTCTACTCACCAGAACAAATTCAATAAGCTGTAGTTGTTCTGATGACTATAGTGTCCCTTTAATTATGGTGCTATCACTGCAACAATTGGCTGAGGAGACTAGTATAACTACTCTCAGATTATCATTGGGTGAAATGTCACTTGATAATATGGAAATCATTGCATCTAAGAAAGGGGTAGGCAGCCATCAGCACTTCTGATGTTGTGGACTACATCTCTCAATGCTCTTACAGCCATAATGCTTGCAAAGCATCAGGGGAGATGTAGTCCATAACATCTGGAATGACAGGTTGCTTATCCCTGTTCTAAGTTTTCTTCAAAATAGTTCAGAACTCTTCATTTACATTGTTAAAATGTGATTTATAAATTCTCCAGAAATAACATGAAGCTGTGGATAAGTAAAAAAGTACATTCTATGCAATTTTGCTTTGTAACTCAAGCTTAATTTTCAAAGTCCTGTGACGTTGCCCCTTGCGGTCCAGAGACCCGGAAGGTATGGGGGGGCATGGGAGCAGGTAACGCTGAGTTTACTTGCATGAACCTGTACCTTGTGGGTGCCACCATCTTTATCCTCAGCGCTGATATTATTGTTGTACTCTTGTGCATATGCAAGAGTACAGCATTGAGATCTATAGTGATCCTCCATAGACACAGTAAATTCCCAACATGGAATATTGCCCCTATTTTGTCCCAAACCACTTATGCTCATTAGATTAAGCATAAGATTCTATCTGTACATTGTGATAGCAAATGTATAGATAACGAGAAAGATCTATTTTTTTTTATTTTTTTTTAATTCTTTATTTTTGGTTTGACAAAGTAGATGGTAATCATGAAAGCAGTTACATTTATGTACATGACAGCGCGGTCATACATTAGCATATATAATGCAAGTGACAGTTGTCAGTTTAGGCATATCATATACATCAAGTTTTCTGTGGGTGACTTCGTCTGAATTTTTGGTATAGGTGGCAAGCAGTGTTAACTATGTACAATAGCTTTGCTGTGAAGGGTTAGGCTTATAGAGTGGAGTGTCGGTCTCGCCGCTTCCTGGGGTATGCGACTGCGCCCTCCCCCCCTGCTACGCACCACAAAACGCTGATGTGCTTTTATCTGCCTTTCCCCTTCTGCCTACTTACAGGTCTGGGGTGCCTGCCTACAAGAGAGAGATAGAAAGGAAAGTAAAGAGTTGGAGACAAGTACCTGCGTGGTTAGCTATATCGGTTTGACATGGTTACCGAGTGAGCTACCGACGGGGGTAGTCAGTTCCCTTAAGTTGTGTTTTATGTGCTGGGCCCGGCCCCACCCCCGTCTAGCAGTGGTGCCTCTTCCGCCTGTCCGAGTGTTGATGTGGTGGTTGGCGTTTGGTGGGCCCCCGCCCCGCCAATTGAAAGTTGCATGGATGCTGCCCCGCGCCCCAAGTTGTTGTGCTAAGTATCGTATTGCTCCCACAGGTCCCAGACTTTTTGGAACTTAGTCATGGTGTTTCGCACCTGAGAGGTCAATTTATCCATTATGTAATTGTCTCGTATTTTTGTCTTAACCAGGGATATATGTGGGAGATCTGGACATGACCACTGTTGTGCTAGGGACCTTCGGGCCGCTAAATAGAGCATGTTAAGAAGTCTTTGCTCGTGTCTGGGGAGATCCTTTGTGGGTCTTGAGAGCAGACATGCCCATGGGTCTAATCCCAGTTGCCTTTGCAGGATTTGGGAGCTAAGCTCCACAATGTTACTCCATTAGTCTGCGACCTTCGGGCAGCCCCACCACATATGTATATACGTGCCCCGCACCCGTGCCAGCAGTAGTCTGTGGGACTTAGCCCCATATGTTTCTGTTTCATGGGGGTCAGGTACCATCGAAATAGTGTTTTATTCGATTGCTCTTGGAGCGTCACACATATTGTGGTTTTGCTACATGCTTCCCAGATGTCCTGCCACTCCGTTCCCTCTAATACCTCCCCCAGGTCGGCTTCCCACTGGTCGGTGTATCGCAGCCTGCCCTCCTCGTTCGAGTTCCCATTGAGGTGGTTGTATAGTAGCGTAATGAGTTTAGTTTGTGTTGTTTCATTGTAACATAGTTTTTCGAAGAAGGTTAGTGGTGTCAGAGCCGCCTTCCGTATGTCAGGGTTTTGTGCAAAGTCACGGATCTGCATGTACCTAAAGTAGTCTCTTGTTCGTAAGTTGGCTTTGGTGGCTAGGTGTTCGTAGGTGACTACATTTTGGTTCACATATAGGTGTACGTATCTTTGGAGTCCCGTGGCCTCTATCCCCTTATAGTCTCTCGCCTGCATTCCGGGAGGGAAGGCCCTATTCCTAAGGACTGGTGTCATGGGGGACGGGTGGGAGCTGAGGGCGTATTTCGTTTTGGTTTGGTCCCAAATCTGTATGGAGTTGAGTATGGCTGGGTTCGCTGTTCTTAATATGGCTCTTTGCGCTTTGGGTGCCCATATTGAAAATTACGGGAGATCCTGACCTGTCATCAGCGACTCTAGATCCACCCACCGTCTCCTGTCAGGAGGTGTGTGCCACTGTATCACCTGTGTCAGCTGTGCAGCTAGATAATAGGTGTAGACATTGGGTAGTCCCAGCACCCCCATGGGTTTCGGTCTGTACATGAGGGCGCGCGCGATTCTTGGGCGTTTGTTGTGCCATATGAAGGCATCAATCGCTCTTTGTATTCCCGTCAGGTCCCTCCGTGTTACTCTTATTGGGAGTGCTTGAAAGAGGAATAGCATCCTCGGCAGCACATTCATTTTTATAGAGTTTACTCTCCCCAGCCATGAGATGGGCCTGTCCGTCCACTGCTCTAGTTCTGAGAAGGGTCCGGAATAGGGGTGTATAGTTGCGGGCAAATAGGGAGGATGTGTTCGCTGTTAGCCGTATCCCTAGATACGTGAGTTCGTCAGTGGTTATCTTGAAGTGATACGTGTCGCGTATGTGGGTGAGTTCCGGGGGCTCCAGGTGAAAGGGCATTGCCTCGGACTTGGAGTAGTTAATTTTGTACCCTGCTATATTGCCAAATCGCTCCAGTACGAGCGATAAATGGTGGAGAGAGTGTCTCGGCTCCCTGAGCGTCAGCATGACATCATCGGCATACGCTGAGACCGTGAATGGTGTTCCCCCCACCGTGACGCCCCTGATGTGCGGGTGTTGCCTGATAGCTTGTAGTAGTGGCTCCAATGTTAAGGCGAAGAGCAGGGGGGACAATGGGCAACCCTGTCTGGTGCCGTTTCCCAGGGTGAAGGGTGTTGCGCGTGCCCCTGTAATGAGTATTTGTGCCCTCAGATCGGTGTATAATGCTCGTATAGCTGTTATGAAGGTCTCCGGGAACCCCTGGAATCGGAGTAATTCAAATAAATAAGGGCATAACACCCTATCAAACGCCTTCTCCGCGTCTAGTGAGAGCGCCAGAGAAGGCGCCCCGGATTCCCCCATGTGCCAGATTGTGCTGACCCCTCGTCTCGTATTTTCATACAATTGGCGGCCTGGCATAAAGCCCACCTGATCTGGGTGGATCAGGCGCGGGAGCAGTACGTTGAGTCTGGACGCCAGGATTTTGGCGAATATTTTGAGGTCAGTGTTAATAAGTGAGATTGGCCTGTAGCTCGAGGCCAGTGTGTCGTCTTTCCCTGGTTTTGGTAGGAGGACAACATTTGCTGTCGCCATGTCGCCATCAGGTGTCCCACCCTGCAGAAAATGGTTGCTAAGGGTCGTCAGCTGGGGGGGCTAATACGTCTTTGAATTGTTTGTAATAGCTAATGTCATATCCGTCCGGACCTGGTGCCCTATTGCCTTTCAGGGAAGCTATGGCTGCCTCCACCTCGAGTTGTGTGATTGGTTCTTGTAGTGCTTCCGCTTCCGCCCCGTTCACCTTTGGGATAGTGAGTTCAGAGAGAAATTGGCGTATGTCTGCAATGTAGGCCGCATTGGTGGCCCGGAGGCGGGGGGAATGGTTGTATAGTTCTGAGAAGTAGGAGGTGAACACTGCATTAATCTCGTCTGGCGTTTCGGCTAGTGTGTTATCTGTTGTGCGTATTTTTGTTGAAAAGATCTATTTTAAAATAGTTTTTTCCTCACGGCTGTTCGGGCCAAGATATTGACTGACAAGTGACAGCCGAAAAAACCTCCCACAAGAGGTCACTCTGCTCTCCACCCATAGCAGCCACCACACAGGGGCTGCTATGGAAACTTCCTAGTAAGTGCTTCGGGGAACTGGATGTTACACTAAGAATAATACCAACGAAGTGGCGCTGGAACGGAGGAAAAGTGAGTAAATATTTATATTTTACGTTGAATACAACATCTTTGTGGTATATGGTGTATGCGATGTATATGGGAGCAATTTCAGGTAAGTTTGTTTTTCCATAGCATGTTCACTTCAAGGGGTTAAGGAAGTAGGCTACAAAGAAGGTTAAGGTTGCTTGGAAAGCATTGGGAGATTAATGCACATGTGAGGCAAATTGCCATGCTTCTCTAGAGCTCCTAGAGAGTATTTGATTGATAAAGGGACACTATAGTCACCAGAACTACAGCTTATTGAATTTGTTCTGGTGAGTAGAATCATTACCTTCAGGCCTTTTGCTGTAAACACGGTCTTTTCATAGAAAATGCAATGTTTACATTACAGCCTAGTGATAACGTCATTGGCCACTCCTCAGATAGCTGTTAGAGATCCTTCCTGGGTCATGGCTGCCTAAAATGCATCCAAACATTCAGTATCTCCTCCCTCTGCATGAAGACACTGAACTTTCCTCATAGAAATTTATTGATTCAATTCATCTCTATGAGGAGATGCTGATTGGCCAGGGCTGTGTTTGAATCATGCTGGCTCTGCCTACTTGTCAGTCTCAGCCAATCCTATGGAGAAGCACTGTGATTGGATCAGGCCACCACTCTGATGATGTCAGCAGACAGCTTGTTTTTCTGAGGCAAACAGCATGCAGAGCTACAGCTTCAGGCTTGAATACAAGTAAGATTTTGCTATATTTGGGGATGCATGAGGGCCCCGGGGGGGCTAGATGGTGGTTTTAACCCTATAGGGTCAGGAATACATGTTTGTGTTCCTGACCCTATAGTGTTCCCATAACCTACTGGCTGTCATCAAGACATCAGGACGCACGGATGGAGCCCGCAACCTTTGGTAGCTCTGTGCCGCGTTCCAGTGCCCGAACATACCGCAGAAGTTCAACAAGGGTCTGAGGACTGGCCACACAAGGACGGAGCCTACGTGTCTTTTAATTGTATGCTGCTGCTAATAAAGGTTTGAAATACATCCAGCTGTCCTGCCTAGAGTATCGTGGTCCTGCATTCTGATTTTTACTGGGCGATTATAGTGAGAGCAGACTTTTAGTGCTCCACTCTTGTGAGTTGATTGGTTTACTCTTATATATTTTTTTTGCGCAATTTTTACAGTTTTACACTATGTATATTTTTCTTTCTTTTTGTCTCCCTCATTGTACTACCTGAGTCATTTGGCCCCTGAGTCATTCAGTATCTGGGAAGATATATACCCCTATGTAAAGTTTTATATGTAAGTGCTTTGCATTTTGCACTTTATTGTATCACTTGGTCACTTTGTTAAAACAATATTCAGTGTATCATCATTCTACACTTTTGAATTGTGTATAGTATATGCACATCATTGTATGCACATAGCATTTAAAAACCCAGTGCACTTTTTATCTTTTTTATTTGTATATGGAGTGTTTTCTAGAGCTATTTCACACTTAATTAGTGCTGCTTACCTTTTTTATGATATTTTTTCACTTGTTAAATATTCACTAGCGCCTTCACTTACTTGTTTTTTTTTTTCTTTGCACCAAGACATCTACTAGATGTGTGTTCCATACTGCAGTGGAAACATTGCATTTACAACACAATTGCATTGTTTTATATTGCTGTATTAAAACTATACAGCCACTGCATTTGTTATTTATGTAATAACTTGCAACAGATTTTTGCATACCAAGTTAAAACGTATGTCTATTTCTTTTGTGTCCTAACTAATAGGATTGTTAAATGTTAATTGAGGGGCAAAGTTAAGGGAGATGGGGAAAAAAAGATATTTGGTTAATCAATAAGGCGTATATACATTGCTCTTGTTTTTTTTTTTTTTAATTACCCTGTGAGGAATTCACTCAGTGTGATGAAATGCAATGAGATTGTGGTAGAGCAGGGGTTCCCAACCTCGGGGCCGGAGCCCGGAATCGGTCCGTACAAATTTATTGCCGGTCCGCGAAAGCTTTCACCCAGCTATACTGTTGGTTTAAAAGCTTTTGCGGACCGGTAATAAATTGCCGCAAGATATTTTCCTGGTGCTATGATCTTATGATCATAGCACCGGGAAATTTGCCCCCTCTCCTCTGCCGGTTCTGCAGGACCGGTGGGGAGATCAGAGATCTCCGGTTCGCTCGCAGTGTAATGCTGCAGCCGGCAGGGGAGAGAGGGAGAGAGGACCCGGAGCTGCTAGAGTTCACTCTCGCGAGATTCTGATTGTTGCCGTGGTAATTGCAGCAAAGCTCCGAGCTTGTGAGAGGAGAACCTGGTGGCGTTGCTGGGACCATCAGGGCGTCCCCACTGGACCACCAGGATTTGGAGGAAATGTCCTCCATCCCATGCAAAGGTAAGCGGGGGCAGGATGATATCAAAATAACTTTTTTTTTTAATTTTATTAAGTAGTAAAAAAAAAAATGGGGGGAAAAAAATATAAAAATATAATATAAAAATTCGAAGGGTAAGGGGGTACCAAAGTAGAAAATCTCCTGAATGGGGGTTAACCCCTAGTGCAAGAATATTTGCACCAACAACTAAACAACAAGAAGAGTGTAAGTCCCAGAAAATAGGATGTTGCCTTGATTCGTATTGTATGTGGAATGTTGTATAATGATACAACGTCAATACTGGCAAGAAGGGTGTATGGGGGCACCTCCAAATTTTCCAAGGTAAGTAATGTTTGTTTTGTGTCCTGTAGGTAGGATGATAATTGAATGACAAACGGATGTAATAGATTTTCCAAAAATTTACTTATGCTCTCCGTGACGGATTGGTTCCCAGACACTATTGGTCTACCTGGTGGTTTAAATTGGTCTTTGTGCACTTTCTGCAGGCAATAGAAAGTGGCTATGGTTGGTGAGTTTTTTGGCATCATAAATCTCAATTCCTCAATGGTGGTGATGTTTTCTTCCAGGGCTGAGTTCAGTAAGGTTTTTAAGGAGGACAAGGAGGAGGATGTGGGATCTCCATAAAGTTTTTTTATAACCGGTCGTATCGTTAAGGTGTTGCATACACATTTCAATGTATGCATCTCTATTTTGGATGACAATATTACCCCCCTAATCAGAGGGTTTTATAACAAGATCTTTATTTAGACTTAGTTCTTTAAGTGCTTATTGTTCAGCATTGGACAGATTGTTTTTATAGATCCTTGGGTTGGGTAGAGATTCTATAGTGTCAATAGTCATCTTGACAAAAAGTTCCACAAAATTTTTTTATTTAGATTTACTTTCTTTCATTCTCAGACACAATTATTTTGTTTTTAATGGCACATATTATTTACAGCTGAGAAGCACAGCTATAGGGACGGCTTGTGCCCCCAGCTACGCAAATCTGTACCAACAGTGACAGCACATCGAAATAGACTTCCAGCAATCTCCTGTAGCTCTACTACCTAGTTAAGCTCTGATACGTACGGAAACCCTTTTTACTGCACTATCATAAGCAATTGACGATACTAGGAGCTGACAGTTTATTCTGATATTTAATCAGCAATTGTAGCCACTTTTTAGTGTAATTGGTGAGCAAGGTTTTTGCACTCTCTGCTTCCTAGGCAGGATTTCTGGTGGGAGGCTGTATAGACCAGTGTTTAGGGACTTGCAGGCTTTATTTAAGGGGCGCCCTCTAAGGCACAAGTACTTAGGGACTTTGAGAATTACTCAGGAATTTCTCCACTATTGTTGTCTTAAACCCACACTATCTCTGTGATATATATATATTCCTACATAGGGATATTAATAACCCATTCTGGTTCTCCCTCCCACACAACAATATATGGTCTGAGACACCAACAGGTATACAGTTTACTTTTTATTACTAAAATAATACTCTGAGAAGAGGGTGTTATATACTACTTTGTACTCGAGACTGTAATATTGTACCGCTTCACCTGCAGCGGGTTCATTTATTGGATTGAAATAATCCCTGCAATTACACTATCTCTGTACTAACGGAGACGAGCCAGCTTTAAGTTATACTTACTAGTGTTCTTAATGTGTGCTCTTGTGGTTTTATTTTTTTAGTATTAAAAGTTTTTATATTTTAATTGGTACACACTATTTGTACCACTGACTGTCCCCCTCCCTCTTAAGGGACTTACACTCTTCCATAATTCCTTTTCTCCTGTTTTTTGTCTCTTCTTCGTGTGTGTGTGTGTGTGTGTGTGTGTGTGTAATATGTATATATGTGTATATATATGTATATATGTGTATATGTGTATATGTGTATATATATATATATTTTACTAATCTACCCTTAAACCATACATACATACATACATACATACACTGCACCACACACATACCATTGGGTTTTATTTCTGGCTTTAGCTGGTCCGCAAAATAGTTCTACTATTTTTGCTGGTCCCCGGGTGCTAAAAGGTTGGAGAACACTGTGTTAGAGGATACCAGATGAACAGAAAGCTTACATATTAAAGAACCTTGCAATTCGGACAGCTTAAGGACTGGTGAACCTTGTGTTTTGTTTTTAATTCTTTTTTTTTTGGAATGCATGGAAATATAACAAGTGGGCTCGTCATGCCCCAACAGAATTGACAAGTATATGACAAAACATTTGTTAACAGTTGGTCAGCATGTGAGAAAACAGCACAATTTTTATAGAGCAACATATATCGTTTAAGTGTTCCTGTCTAGACGATCAGTACATATGTTGGCAGGGACATTTCTAAACATGCAGGATGCAAGATTGCGATCTAATAGAGAGTGAGTGCTTGCTACAGAGAAGCTAGGCTAGTCAGCATGAGATGCCTCTCTATGTGTAGGACAGGACAGTGATATATAATAGAATACAAGTAAATTACACAGGCTTAAATTGTGTAGCTAGTGTCTGCTAAGCGAATATCAATGGGGCTCCCACACCCATTATTGCTAACAGTAAAACATATGAGTGCAAGTAGGTAAGTTAGTTAACGTCAGGGCTCATGCTAAAATGAAAAAACGCTTAAAATAGTTAGAAAGTACATTAATAAAGCTCAGGGGATCTTGGGTCTCATCCTCGAGAACTCTGGCATTATTTATTTGGGTCGTCCTCCGATATAGCAGGTGGTCGGTGTCTGGTAAGCAAGCTGTCCCCCACACAGGGGTTCTTTACCCTACTCCCCGTCTGGACACTGCTCTGAGGTGGCTATTAAGTCCTCCGGAGATAGACCTGTTGTGGCTCCTGTGTGAGGTACCCCACAACTCACCAGTGGCAGTTCGAGGACCTGTAGGGTGTTGCTTGTATTCCCATAGAGTTGTGGTCTCCCATGGTGGTAAGTTGCGTCATTCAGGGCGGTTGCTGGACAGTGCTGGGCAGATTCTTCGGCGACGTGTTTGTGTACTTGGCCTCTGTTTCTTCATTAGTGGCGATGCTGCACCAGAGCGTCGCCCAGGAGTCGCGGGCTGCCCTTTTGTGAGCGGCAAGGTTGGTTCTGGCTGGGCTCCAGCAGACTTGTGCCGGCGTGCGGCTAATGTGGACCAGAAGTTTGCAAATAAGGCGTCAAGCTTCTCCTGCAGAGTCAGTCACTTAGAATGAGGCAGTGTGTTGCACAAGGCCTCTGCCATCTTGGTCTTGGCGGGTGCGTAGTCCCAAGTGTATAGTAGCAGGAGCTTCACTAGTGAGACACCGTTGAAAGTTGCCGGCTGGGGGGGGGAGAGGGTGAAGGATGGTCTTCCCAGGTAAGTGCTCGATAGGCTGAGGGATCGGCCGCCTCCCTCTCGTGCACTGCAATTAGGCTTCTTGCAGGCCGCGGACTCTCCTCCGGGGTTACCCACCGGTCCTGGCTGGAGACACCACTGGTTTGAGAGCTAGGGCTGTCTCCCAATATTGTGGTGTCAAGGGATCTAAGTTTTGGGTCGCTTAGTCACTTTTATCGCTTATTTAGGAGCCAGATATCGCAGAGCTCTCAGTGTGTGCGACCGTTCCATGCGGCTGCCAGGCTCCGCCCCCCAAACCTTGTGTTTTATGTATATTTTTCTTTAAGTGGTATAAAGAAAATGCATATTCATTAAAAAAAAAAAAAAAACATTGTGTCCTGTTATCAAAAAAAATGCTGATGCTAAAAAGTTTTAATGTCCTTTGTTTCAAAGAATTAAAAATAATTCATCCAATAAAACAAACCATAATGGCTGCAGATTGTGTAGAAGTGCACACATCATTATGTTTTGTAAATAATGTACTTTTTCAAGATCACTCGAGTTCCATTGTAGCAGCATTTTATAGCTGCATATGAATCAATCACCAGACAACCCACTTGCAACAGGTGATTCATCTGGTGAAGAAAAACTACAGAAACATGCTAGGACCTAACTTTTTAAGGTTAAAGGGTACACATAGTGCCAAAAACCACTTTACACCTGCATTAAGTTTTGCTGGCAAATGTATAGATTGGGAGAAAGCCCTATTTAAAAATATTTTTTTCCCTCCAGATTAGAGGCAGTGCACAAGAGATCCACACTGAAAAGGGTAGACAGAAAAAGGTAGAAAGTCACCTACAATAAGCTATAAAGAGCCCAGTATGTCCTAGTAACTCCGTGTGAAGAAGCTCCTGTACTCCGACCAATTACCTCCTTGCTGCTATCAGGGACCCTGGAGTGTTTCAGACCAGGCTCCAGCTACCTCCTTCCAGGCACGTATCGCCCTGTCTGCCTTTTCCTCTTCCGTTTCTTCTTCACAAGCACGCACTGACACCTCTGCTTATAGTGATTCCAGCTCCCTTAGCTACTGCCTTTATAAAGGCAGTTGTGGCTGTCAGGGCTAGCTCTTATGCATTTATCCAGGGTTAGCTACAGGTCCAAAGACTGCCACTGAGATTCCTGAATATATCCAGACAGGACATATGGTTTCAAATGCCACTAACATACATTTCTTTATCAATGTGAACAAGGACTACCCTTTGGGGATTAGTCCTTAAATATATGTTGACAAACATTTAAAATACAAATATGTAAAACATTGGAGTACAAGCAATTATAATTAATACATGAACTATATATTACAAATAACATTTTCACATGAAAAAAACCCCAATAATATACAGGTGATACTTGAAAAATTAGAATATCGTGCAAAAGTAAATTTATTTCAGTAATGCAACGTAAAAGGGGAAACTAATATATGAGATAGACGCATTACATGCAAAGCAAGATAGTTCAAGCCATAATTTGTCATAAGTGCGATGATTATGGTTTACAGCTCATGAAAACCCCAAATCCACAATCCCAGTAAATTAGAATATTACATGCAATCAATAAAACAAAAAAAGTCAAAAATAGGTAAGCGCTAATAATATATAGAATAAAAAAAATTAAAAAAAATTAAATAAAGTAGGCAGCAACCTTATAGAGGGTAACCCTCTTACCCTCTAGATAATGTACAGTAAAGCAGGAAGAAAAGTAGCGCCAAAATAAAACGAAAAATTAAATAAAATAAATAAATAAATAAAATTTTATTTATTTATTTTATTTAATTTTTCGTTTTATTTTGGCGCTACTTTTCTTCCTGCTTTACAATCAATAAAACAAGGAGTGTACATAGAACAATATCGGACCTCTGAAAAGTATAAGCATGCATATGGACTCAGTACTTGGTTTGGGCCCCTTTTGCAGCAATTACTGCATCAATGCGGCGTGGCATGAAAGCTATCAGCCTGTGGTACTGCTGAGGTGTTATGGAAGACCAGGATGCTTCAATAGTGGCCTTCAGCTCTTCTGCATTGTTCAGTCTCATGTCTCTCATCTTTCTCTTGGCAATGCCCCATGGATTCTCTATGGGGTTCAGGTCAGGAGAGTTTGCTGGCCAATCAAGCACAGTAATCCCACAGTCATTGAACCAGGCTTTGATGCTTTTGGCAGTGTGGGCAGGTGCCAAGTCCTGCTGGAAAATGAAGTCGGCATCCCCATAAAGCTCGTCTGCGGAAGGAAGCCTGAATTGCTCCAAAATCTCCTGATAGACGGCTGCGTTGACCCTGGACTTAATGAAGCACAGTGGACTAACCCCAGCAGATGACATGGCTCCCCAAATCAACACAGACTGTGGAAACTTCACACTGGACTTCAAGCATCTTGCAGTGTGTACCTCTCCATTCTTCCTCCAGACTCTGGGTCCTTGGTTTCCAAATGAGGTGCAAAAGTTGCTCTCATCAGAAAAGAGGACTTTGGACCACTGAGCAGCAGACCAGGTGTGTTTTTCTTTAGTACAGGTAAGACGCTTCTGACGTTTGTTGTTCAGGAGCGGCTTGACGAGGAATATGACATCTGAAGCCCATGTCCACGATCCGTCTGTGTGTGGTGGCTCTTGATGCACTGACTCCAGCCTCAATCCACTCCTTGTGAAAGTCCCCAACACTTTTGAAGTCATCCCTGCTGCTTGTGCACCTTTCTCTTCCACACTTTTCCCTTCCCACTTTGGGAACATCCAACTTCCTTCGCAATTACCCTTTGAGGCTTTCCCTCCTTATGGAGGGTGTCAATGATGGTTTTCTGCACAACTGTCAGGTCAGCAGTCTTCCCCATGATTGTGATTCATACTGAACCAGACTTAGAGACCATTTAAAGGCTCAGAAACCCTTTGCAGGTGTTATGGCTTACTTAGCTGATTAGAGTGGGACGCTGTGAGCCTAGAATATTGCACCTTTTCTCAATATTGCAATTTGCTGAGATTGTGGATTTGGGGTTTTCATGAGCTGTAAACCATAGTCATCGCACTTATGACAAATCACGGCTTGAACTATCTTGCTTTGCATGTAATGTGTCTATCTCATATATTAGTTTCCCCTTTTAGGTTGCCTTACTGAAATAAATGAACTTTTGCACGATATTCAAATTTTTCGAGTATCACCTGTTTACATTTAACTGCTTATTTGTTTCCCCCGCTTTACATACCACCATTATGCAAATATACAAACTTCAATTCAGCCACTAGAGGGCGCTGCAGTGTTATCAAGTAATGAATAGTTTTTTGTTTGTTTTTTTCAGTTGCTGCCATCATAAGCCCCTTTTAAAGGGCTCCTGGGACCAGGTCCATAGTTTGTGGGCAAGAAGTTGGTCTTTTAGCCTCTCCAAAAGGCCATGGCATGGAGCTTTTGTTAAACCCCAGTTCTCTGACTGCCTTTGGAAGTATAGGTAGGCACTCATGTTTTTTTCAAGAGCAAGGTGAAGTCAGTCAGCTGTCCTCCTTAGACAGTAATAAAAATATTCTCCTAAAAGCAGCAAGAGAAACCACTAGGAAGTAATAGGTTAAAGTTCTGAATTCTTCCCCTGGCTCTTCTTCTGAAGACTCCGCAGTCTCCTCTGATGAAGAGAATTATAATTGAAATTATTCAAACTCAAAAAGCTCAAGTCATTTTACATTTCATCCTAAATTAAGGGATCTGATGCTGAGAGAATGGAAATGTCCTTCTTAAACAGCTTATATCTCAAACTTTAAAACAATATTTGCCATCAAAGAAGAGTCTGTCAATAAATTGGAAGAGCTGCCTAAAGCAGATGTACCCACTGTTCCGGTGGGGAAGAAAACCACCCTACCTACCCTTAGGAAATTCCAGTGGTCTTTAAGATGCACTTTTCTACTTTTACTATTTGTGGTTGTGGCACCAAGGCCGTGTCATAGCTAATAGCAAGCAAGACATGTGTAAACGTAAATTAGGAGTGTGTGAAAGTATTAAGCATCAACCAACACAATGTTTCAGAAAAGATGTCAAAAAGCTTGGGACTGCTCTTTTACCCAAACGTGAGCTTGGAGAAAAATTCAATACCGATCCTTCCACTTAATGCCGTGTAAATGCCAAACGAACAGATGTATAGGTTTAAATGCATTGACAATATCAGTCTTGCTCAGCTAGGTGCGCACACCGGCATTGATAATAGCATTTATGGCATTGTCAATTGTCGCGTATTGTAGAGAAAATTCTTTAGAGAGGGTCAAAGAATTTAAACAGGGAACTGATGATGAGTGGGGAGCAGAAAGATCAGCGATTACATGTTTTCAAAGATAATTTTTACCAGTGACAATTCCGATTGGATTAGTACGCCATGTAGAGAAGGGGGTGGGGCAGGAAAGGGCCCAGGAGAAAATCTTGTTCATGTTCTTGCTGTAAAAGGATGTCAGCAGAGTGAGGGTCTAAAAGGGCTGTTAGTAGGTTCTTACATTCTAAAATTACAGAGGGCATGGCAATAATCCCAGTGTGGAAAACGTTAGAGAGACCTGCAATTAGGAATTCAACCAAATGTGGGGAAGGGTGATTGGACAAAACTTGAGCCAAAACAATCACTTTACAGACGTAAAATACAGTTTTTGGATGTATTTTATTAGGGCACATGGGTTTAGCATAAGCTCTAGAGCAGGCATAGGCAACCTTCGACACTCCAGATGTTGTGAACTCCATCCCCCATAATGCTCTTACACCCATAATGTTGGCAAAGCATTATGGGAGGTGTAGTCCAAAACAGCTGGAGTGCTGAGGGTTGCCTATGCCTGCTCTAGAGCATAATAAAAACTCACATGCAGGAGCCTGCAGGCACTGAATCCGCAGGCTCCTGCATTAAGATTATTGCAAATCGGAGATTTTCCAACAAAAATTATTGGGCAACCAAAGTTATCTTTAATGACTATCAATTTAAATGTATTTTTCTTTAGGATGTATTTCCCTCAATATTTAATAAACATAATTTTGCAGTTAATTGGGTTTTGTATTTTCTGGGATTATTAGGACTTGTTGGAGTTTTATACCTTAAGATGGAGGAGTATTAGAAGGGGCTTAATGTTTAGATTTCTAGGTGACTGTCTGCTTTTTCCTGACACAGTGGATATCCCTGTTGTTGTGCACTACCTCTTATCCTAAGGAAAATAAATTTACGGTAAGTAAAATTTTATCTTTCTCCCATTTGCCTCTAAATTCCTTGGGAGACACTCAAAGCCAGGGAGAGCAGAAGAGACCTTCCACATGAGGAACTTCTGTCTACCCATAGCAACCACAGTGCATGTGCTGTGGTTGGTAGGGAAACCCCCTAGCCGGCACTGCTAGCGTTGGCGGGGGTTGTATGAACAGAGTGACATATTGTCAATGAAATAGCATGTCAGCGTCACTGAGGAGGTTTACCCCTCTTCGGGAAGTTTCCTCAAGCAAGGCAAATCAGTGATTGTCAGAGGAGGCGTGGGGGTGGACCTTGCTAATGTGATTGCGGCAGGGATTCGGAGGCCAAGGTAAGTGGCTACAGGTTTCCTTTAAATTAACCCTCTCACAGCCATATCTCCCTGACACAGGAATTGTTTGATTCCCTATATACACTTGGTATCAATCCATAATGGGAGGAAATGCTTCAAAATACATATAATGTAATGCATCATAAAATACTACAATGTTATACTTGAACTCAAACAAAATAATACAAAATTAATATGGATGGGGAGGGGTAGGTAGAAAAATAATTGGAAAGGGTTAGGGGGGCTACTAATAAGGATAGGGGGACAGGGGTAGGTAGAAAAATAATTGGAAGGGTTTAGGGGGGCTATTAATATGGATTGGAGGAGGGGGGAGGTAGAAAAATAATTGGAAGGGGTTAGGGGAGTACTAATATGAATGGAAGGGGTAGAGTGGGTTCTAATATGCATGGAAGGGGTTAGGGTGGTACTAATATGCATGGAAGGGGTAGGGGGTTAATATGCGTGGAAGGGGTAGGTGGGGTTCTTATGTGCATGGAAGGGGTAGGGGTGGTTCTAATATTCATGGGAGGGGTAGGGGTGGTTCTAATATTCATGGAAGGGGTAGGTGGGGTTCGAATATAAATGGAAGGGGTAGAGACAGGTAGTAAAATGTATGGAATGCACTTCTGAAAGTGTCACTGAATGGCAGTTAGGAAATGTGGTCACCCTAAATTAGGGGCAGTATTACACAATCTGTATATGTATAAAAAAATATAAAAAGTAATCTGCAAAGTACAAAATGTTTGTGTCATATGTCGTGCTAAAAATTAAGCTAGGAATGTGCATATTTTTGTAAAAAAATTTTTAAATAATGATACAGACATTTTATTTCTTACATTTGTGCTGATTCTTTTTTCCTCTCTATATTCAAGGGACACTATAGTCACCAGAACCACAACAGCTAAACGTAGTAGATCTGGTGTCTATAGCATGTCTTTGCAGGCTTTTTAATGTAAGCACTGCCATTTCGTAAAAAGGCAGTATTTACATTACTGCTGAGATATACCTCTAGTGGACACTCAGATGGCTACTAGAGGTGTTTCCTAGTCAAGACATGAATGCCGCCCTATGAAGTATCTGCGCATGTGCGGCAAAGCTGCGCATGTGCACCAGGGAGCAATGACGCTTCTGAATAGAGGCGCTTTATTGCTCCTTGCTCGCACCCTCCTATAATAGGGGGCGCGGCATCAGGAGGATCCCGGCGCTGTATCCTTTCGTGTTATTATTTTATCATTTATATAGCGCCAGCAAATTCCGTACAATGGGATAAACAACTCCTAGTTTACGGAATAAGAATATACCCGGCGAGTAAAAATGCTATCCCCCCAGATTTTTGGGGGTTCCTACGCCCATGTTAGTGAAGGATTCACCTAAGAGGTTTGTCTTGTGGTGGCAGGCGAGTTTACTAGTTAATGAATATTGGAGTGAAACTAAACGTCCAGTTAGTTAAATGTACATCGGGATCTGGGATAGTGCGCAAGCAACCTTTTCTATGTTTATTACAAAATTAAAACTGCCTGCCTAATATCGTGTGCAGTGGCGTACACATGACCCATGGGGCCCCGGTGCAAAAATTGATCCGTGGGCCCTCTTCCCCAGCGCTTTTCGGCGGGTCGGGGCCGCAACACATGGCGGCGGGCACCTGGTCGCAGGGCTGCGACCCCGCGAATGCGGTATACTGCACACACACCTAAAGGACCACTGCAGACACCCAGATCACATCAGCTCAATTAAGTGGTCTGGGTGCCAGGTCCCTCTAGTTTTAAAGGACCACTATAGTGCCCTGAGGGTGCCCCCACCCTCAGGGACCCCCTCCCACCCGGCTCTGGAAGGGGGAAAGGGGTTAAAACTTACCTTTTTCCAGAGCTGGATGGAGAGCTCTCCTCCTCCAATCCTTCTTCTCTCTTCCCCGTCGGCTGGCTGCGCGCGCATTCAGCCGGTCACATAGGAAAGCATTCATAATGCTTTCCTATGGACACTGGCGTGCTCTCACTGTGAAAATCACAGTGAGAAGCACGCAAGCGCCTCTAGTGGCTGTCAGTGAGACAGCCACTAGAGGAAATAGGGGAAGGCTTAACCCATTGATAAACATAGCAGTTTCTTTGAAACTGCTATGTTTATGAAAAAATGGGTTAACCCTAGCTGGACCTAGCACCCAGACCACTTCATTAAGCTGAAGTGGTCTGGGTGCCTAGAGTGGTCCTTTAACCCTGCAGCTGAAAACATAGCCGTTTCAGAGAAACAGCTATGTTTCACTGAGGGTTAATCCAGCCTTTGGTGGCTGTCTCATTGACAGCCGCTAGAGGAGATTCCGCGATTCTCACTGTGAAAATCACAGTGAGAAGACACTGAATGTCCATAGGAAAGCAATAGTAATGCTTTCCTATGGGCGGTTTAAATGCGCGCGCCTCTTGCCGCGCATGTACATTCGGAGCTGAGAGGCGGCGGGATCCCCAGCGCCAAGGAAGTCCGGCGCTGGAGAAAGGTAAATGCTGAAGACACACACTCTCCTGAACAGACGCATACACACTAGCTAACAGACACACACATTTACTGACAGAGACACTCAGCGACAGACATATATACACACTCACTTACAAAACATACACTTTCACTGACAAACACACACTCACTAACAGACATCAGACACTCAGTAACAGACACACTAACACTTACACACACACACACTAACACATGTTTTTTTTTAAATTGAATCCCCCCAGCCTCCTTACCTTTTGGGGTGCTGGGGGGATTCCCTGGGGTCCAGTGGTGCTGCTGCTGGGCTCCTGGGTGGGCGGGCTGCCTGGCCAGCCGGCGCGCGAGGGAGCACTTGCCCCTCAGTGCTTCCTCTTCCGCTCCCTTGCGCGCCGGCCACCCAAACAGCCCGCCCGCTGGGGTCAGCAGGACCAGCCTCGGGGGGGGCCTGAGGTGGCCGCCGCCTGGGCCCCCCAGGAGAAGAGGCTGGCCCTGTGGCTACATACCGGGTCGCAGGGGCGGCCGGGCTCCCTGGTGGGCTGGGCCCGGTCGCAGCCGCGACCCTGGTATGTATGCCACTGATCGTGTGGGTATCCCTCATGCTGCTAAAACAGCTAGGCATGGACTCCATAAGACCTCTAAATGTTTCCTGTGGCACCAAGACATTAGTAGAAGATCTACTAAAGAGGCACTATAGTTACCAAAACAACTTTAGCTTAATTAAACAGTACTTGTATATAGATTATGCCCCTGCAGTCTCACTGCTTAATTCCCTGCCATGTAGGATGTAACGGATTACCTGGCACTCTGACTGGGTACCTCCGCCAAAGGATGCTCCTAGTGCGCCACACCGAACACCACAAACACTGCAGACTCCACAACTGCTGTAGCTTAGCTGGGATCTCACCATCTTCTTTCCACCCAGGAAACTCCTGTGACATCCAGGACTGTGTGGGGAAGACCTCTCCTCCAGGAGAGCGTAACAGGAACAGTTCTTAGAAGAGCTAAGTGATTAGAGCTTTAGGGGAGTATACAGAGTATAGCAATCCCCAGTGTGATTATATCAGTTTCCCCCAATAAGAGACAGAACTCAGTATTGAGGGTGAAGTAAGACAGAAGGTTTAATGGCACAGGTTGGCTTTATATACAACTTTTCAGGCCAGAGGAACGCCCACTGGACCTGAAGAGGGATTGGGACACAAGGGACACAAACCAATAAAAACAGCGTAACAACGTCTGACACGCTCACATACAGTAAACAATACCTCCTCTGTGCCTGTGATATAATTAAGGTAGTTAATGCATTAACTTAATTATCCACAGGGAGAAATACACACATTTTTATACCATAAGTACCCCAAAACACAACATATCCCCATAAATCTTACTTCCCCTGATCTGGATGATATCCAAAAATCACCCAGATCAGATCAGGGGTTCAGAAATTTTATGGAAGTCATATTTTTGCCCAGGCGAACCCAGGATTTCATGCCCAAAACAGTTCCATAGATTCGCAGCTAAGTGCTGCTGGAGGACCGACCGGGAACCGCGAAGTTTTCATGTCGAAAATAGTTCCAGGGCATTCGCGGCCAAGTCCC